TTATCAGTGCCCGAAGCGCTAAGCTCAGAAACTTCTGGCCCAAACACAAACCTGCCAAGCCTTGCCCTGATAGCTGTCGGTCTCCCCATCATAGGACCAGCCCAAATCGGCACTCGGGTAGAAGTTCCTGAACAAGGAGGAGACAAAGGAGGGGTAGCACGAGGAGAGGATAAAGGTGGAACAGATGTGCCTGGCAAGGAAGATTCTGGAGTAGCAGCTGGAGAAGTTGTCAGTTGAGAAGGAGCCACCGTGGGAGTCACATGGGGGGCATCATCCCTCCTTGCCACTTTGGAAGAAGGAGGGCTCCTGCTAGAAAAGCGGGACACCACCACCCTTTTACTTGCTGCAAGAGTAGAGAAGGGTTAGATAAAAAAAAAAAAAAAAAAGAAGGAGAGGAAACTAGCTCACCCCTTTTCTTCGAAGAGGAGCCACCAGATTTCTGAGATGGAGCAACAGCTCTAGTATACTTGGGCAGGAGAACTCCCAAATCTTTACAAGGGCAAGCTTTGACAGCCTCCAATTTCCACTCCTGGTCCCGGGAAAGCACAGGTATATCTGCATGGAAAAAGTGAGCACACACGCATAAAAAAAAAGGAAAAAGAAGAAGTGTGCAGCATACCAGGTTTTTTAGCAGCACCCCAAAGTGTTGGCACCAAAGCTCTGTCGGCTTCTGAAGCCCATTCTCCACCAATAAAGAAGAAACAAGATTTCCAGCCACCGCAATTAGAACGCGTTCCTATAAGCACTGTACCACTCCGTGCGGTAAAATAGTACCATCCCCTATTTGGTGTAGGACTTTCGCTCAAATTATATGCTGCATGAAACTCCATAGGAGAAGCATCCTCGTGGTGCACCTTTCTCCATAATGCAAGAAAATCGAGCAGGACTCTCCAACCGTTGGGCGCTAGTCGCCCCGGAGTCAAGGAAAAGTAATGCAAAACACGACAAATGGGGGAGGACATGGGAAATCTTAACCCAGCCTCAAGCATCTCCTCGTAGACAACAATATCCCTGGAAGAGTCATCGCAAGCAAGCTCGCCCAACTCAACCCGACGGCACAACACGGTCGGAGGGATGCGATAAGTAAAAACAAGCCTTGAAATATCTTCATCTAAGCGGAACAAACTAGAAAGGGTGCTCACCTTAGACCCGTCATCATCAAGTCCCACTTTGCTCTTGCGTTTCTTCTTCCGGGGCCTTAAGGAGTAGTCCAAATCACCATTGGGAGAGTCTTGAGGAACTTGAATCGGGGGAGCTACAATAGGGGCTTGATCACCAAGAGCAGCACCCAAAGCTTCCTTACTATTTGCAATGTCTAGCCCAACACCTGGAAGTGTGCCTAAATGCTGTTGCTCGTCAAAACAAAGTTGCCCAGTAGCTTGAAGGGTGTCTGGCCCTTCAAAATTGGGCAAAACAGAATTTTTGGCACAAAAATCAGCACCTAAGGGGCCCAAATCAGCGCCTCGAGTGAGAATCAGATCAGCCCGTGCTCCCAGGCCACTGCCTAGCTCTCCCTGATGAACCTTGGACAGATTTTTAGCGCCCCTTGATGGAAAAATACTGCTGCCCAGTGTTCCAAAGCCGCCCAGCGAAGCAGAACTGAAGCTGCCCAACGCAGCTGAGCTGTCCGGGACAGCAGAAGCAGCAGCCAGGCTGTTGCCCAGCGCACCTGGGCTGTCCAGGACAGCAAGGCCAGCGCACAGGCAGCTGCCCAGTGCGCCTGGGCTGTCCAGGACAGGAGGAGCAGAGCCCAGGCAGCCACCCAGCCCCCCACCGCGCGCGCGCGAGCTGCCCAGCTGCGCTCCTGCGCTGCCCAGTCGCGCGCCCAGTGCGCCTGGGCTGTCCAGTCGCACGCCTAGCCATTTTCCTTCGCTGCCCAAGCCACTCCTCGCACTGCCCATCTCCCCTTCGCTGTCCAGCCCTTCATTTACAGCCCCAAAGCTGTCCAAAACAGCATTCGAATGCTCAAAATCAGTCTCCAAGTTCTCCAAAATGGTGCCTACTTTCCTCCCTTTCTTCAACCTCCACCACTCCCTCTTCAATCGATATTGTTTACTTGAGAAGCTCAACTAGCAAGGAAGAAATCACACTCTTGAAAGGATTCAAGGAGAACACACCTTGGCTTCAACAAAATGGGTAGGACTTGAGTTTTCAAGATTTTCAAGAGGTGGGTGCTCAATCTTAAAAATGAGTGAAATGGGTAACATGAAGAAGAAGACTATATTTATAGTCTAGGGTTTTTCAAAAAGAGGGAAAAAGCCCAAATAAAAAATTATGGGCCCTCTTCAAAATAAAGTGGTCAAATAGAAAGTTATAAGTCCTTTTCAAAATAAAAAGGTCAAATAGAATATTATGGGCCCTCTTCAAAATAAAGTGGGAAAGACTTGGAGTTAAAAAAAAAATAATAATAATAATAATAATAATATAGTCAATGCCTCCTTCTCCAAATCTCATGGACATGGGGCATTGGAGGGCAAATGATGGGTTAAGCCCAAATAGTCCAATTTATGTGTTAAAGTCCAACTCTAGTTGAGGAGCCCAACCTCATTTTGAATCTACCAAGCCCAAGATAGTCCAAGACCGGTTAGACTTTTTGCTTAGCACGTCATCAAAAGGAGAGCATGAGAAGCTTATCTGCACCACCGAAGGAAACGGTCCAAGCTTTGACCACGTTTCATGAAGAGCTCTCCAACCTCCTCCTTCCGTTGAGGATAAGTCATGATCTCCACCAGAATGATCTCTTAGCTGCGATAAAGTAGCCTTGAGGATAAGTCATGATCTCCACCGGAATGATCTCTTAGCTGCGATAAAGTAGCCTTGAGGATAAGTCATGATCTCCACAAGAATGATCTCTTAGCTGCTATAAGTAGCCCCATCTGTGAGGAGACAGAAGGAAAAAAATGGCACGCCCCACCAACACTTACAGAGGACAGACCGACGACCCGAGACCACTCCTTCTTTGATTCCCCGTTCTCTCAAAGTTTGTATCTCTATTCTCCATACATCTGAATTAATAAAATACTCGGCAACTGAAGTCATTGAAGAGTGGACGTAGGTCGAATTGACCGAACCACTATAAATCGTGTCTTTTTTAATTTTATCATTGATTTCATTGCATTTATTACCTACACTTGACAGGTGGTATGCAAAACCATTTTTGTGCATCATCAGAGTTGATTATGAAAACTTGTTTTTCATATGTAAATTCATGGAATTGAATGTAATTGAGTTGGTATGGATCTTGTGTAATATGAAAATCTCCATATACTTGTGTTGGATAGAGTTAATATGGCTTGAACCTACCGATAGGATCGTGTACAAGCAGAATTTTGCTTATCAGGCAAAACCTACTGATAGGACTTTTTCAGTAGGCAAAACTTACCGATAGGTTCTTTAAAAATTTGAAAATTTGATACTGCTTTGTCATGCTTTTGGACTTTGGTTCCAAGGATATACATGGACATAAAATAAGGATAAATAGTGGTATATTGGACCTTGGTTGATCAAATGGTATAATGTACATGGGTTACACGTGTGGGTAATGATCCCGATTAAGGGGAAATTTTTGACGTAATGTCAGGTTGTACGACAAATCACGGATACTTCTGTAGGTTGACGGACGATCAACAGGTTAACAAATGATCTTCAGTTTAGGAGCGTCACAGTATGTACACCAAACTTTATTTTTGTAGATCCTATATCATATATAAATTTGGATAAGACTATAACACCTTCAAAAATAATTTCGATACCATGCTGTCACAGATTAGGAGTCGTAGATCTTTGTGTGACAACATTTATTATAGTCATTAATAGTAACAATAACAAAAAAAAAAATATATGTGTTATATTTTTATTGGACAAAAAATAATGATATGGTGTCCAAAAAAAATTAGAGTTAATTATAATCTGTCCCTCCAACTAATGTTGCTTATTGCAATCAGTTTCCTGTGGTTTCAAATGCAACAATTTGCCCCTCCAAGTTTCAATTTTTAACAAAATAGGGATCACGTGAATTTGATATTGTTAATTTTTTTTGTCAATTTTTATTGTCTAAAAATAACTATTTTAAATTATACAAATTTAAAAGAGTCTGTTTATTGAAATTAAAATCTGAATGAGTGACTAACAAACTATCCAAAATTGAAGGGACATTTTGTAATTAACCCAAAAAATTATATTCGGCTGTCGTCATGGGCGGAGCTACACAGGGCTGTGCCCACTCTCAATTTTTTTTACAAAAATATTATATGTATACTTATATTTATATATTTTAAAATTTATATATATATATATATATATATTTTATGTCAACCCTATAAATTTCTTATTTCAATTGTTTAGTCTTTTTTATTGTATTAAGGCTTTCTCTATATAACATTAATTTTATTATTTATGAATTTTTACAAGTAAAAGTTCTTGCAATTGACCTTTATTTGACTCTATTTTTTTCTATAAGAAATTGTCTCTATTTTTATTCGAGTATTGATTATAATATTTATTACGTGTTAATCAATTGTCAATTTTTTTAGTTTAATAATCTTATAATGTTAATATCTTAGTGATAATGTTTGAAACATCATTTATTGAATAAATTTAAAAGATTATTAGTGAATAAGTAATAATTTTTTAATTACAAAAATGATAATTAGCCTCACTTTTTTGTAATGGTGATAATTATTCATTTTTTTTTATAAATATACAATATATATTATTTTTGTCCTTTTTATGTTAATAATGGATATCATGTATCAAATATGATATAATAAATATAAATATATTATATAGTATGATTAATTAAGAGGAAAAAAATTAAAATTTATAATTAAAGTGTATACCTAAACAAAATTTATGCCTCTGCCGACACCTCTAGCTCCCATGTATGTAATTCCATGTAAGCAAAGGCATGGCAATGGTATATAAAATGCCCAGCAATAATAGCACACTGCCATAAACCACAGAAACTAAAGCCAAACGCAAGTTCTCTCTCTCTCTCTCTCATGGCTGCCACTACAGGGCACTGCATTGCAAGGTTCATAGACCCAGAACCAATGAAATACTCCATCTCAGCCATTTCTATTAGACAATCTGTCAATGTTTTCAAAAAAGTATGCTTGCCGCTTTTCTCCATATTAAACTTTCTTCTTCTTGAACTATACATAATATATTTTCGGTTCACTAACCAAGTTTATGACTCTGGAACAGAGAAACCTGCTCTGTTCAATGTCCATGAATGGTTGCCAAGGTGAACCCAGACTACCGGTGGGCACCGTCGAAACGCGCACTTTACCGGCAGTTTTGAGCCCTGCATTGGCCGTGGACCGCCTCAAGTCCGCCGTGTCAGAATTACAATCCGACCCACCTCCGTTCGACTCTGGAATCATTCGCCTCCAGGTATATTTTCACCTGCCACTCTCAATAATGTACTGTTTCTTCAATATGCGTGTTATGGTGAGTCTCGGTCCAATGGCTCAAGAACAAGATAGACTCTATTCTTACCACATTGCACTCTTATCCGCAGTGCCGGCCCACGTCTTAGACCCTCCAATTTAATACATATATTTGTGGTACAAACGTTTAAGATATTTTATGGGTATTCAAAGTTATAAACGTTATAATAGTAAATGGGTTGTTGACTGAAGATTCCAACGGGATTTTCTTATTGCCTATATAAAAGGTATTAGGTAGTACCTGTTGGCTATCCTTTTGCGGATCAACTATATACAGCTTGTCATTTTGTCTTATAGCACAGCTCTTCTTTCTTTATTCTTCAAGCAGAGATATCACATCTCAACAACCACCTACTGTTATAGTCTTATAGGTTTTTTATTTTTACTACGTTAAATTATTTTATTATTTGTCGATTCTATTTGAGTTGGGGTCACCTTCCCTTCCAATAGACTGATTAAGGAAGTACTGTTACGAGCGTGGATTGGATCTTGAAGTCATTAATGTCTATCAATACTTTCACGTGGAAAGACTTAGTTGTTTTAAGACAGTGATTACACGCCTCTCAGACTTACATGCCAACTCTTTCATTTTTTTCTCTTATATATATATACTAGTAACAACGTGTCTAAAAGCACTTTGCAATTTAAGAAAATCCTTCAATTTAAAATAATTTTTTATCTTTATTTATTTTAATTAAAGAAATTGAAATTAATATATTCCTTTCTATTTTTTTTAGAAATTTTTTTGTAAATAGTAACCCATAAAAATTTCAACCTGTCTACAGTCACATTAATTGCATTATTGCCCAACACAAATCATTCAACCTCTCAACACAAACCATTGCATAACCAATCTCAAGAATAAATTACTCAACCCCAACTAAAAAACAACATCAAATTTTAATAACTACATAATATAAGCTAAAATCTCATTTATATGATAATAACGAAAGTTATAGATACATTATACATGCAAGTCCAACTAAAGAACTAAATCCACATAAATAAGAATCCTTTGATTTGAATATTCTATATTTTGAAGGATCAACCAATAATGAAATTGCAACCCTTCCAATAACTCTTATTATTTATCCATTCATGTAACCCACTACAATTTGTGGTCTTATTAATCGCTTCGAGATCTCAATTGCATTACTCACAAAACATTCTTTCTAATACAATTCAATAACAGTAAATATGAAATAAATAAATGATCACCAAAATTATCTTATGCAATTACAATTTTTTTCCCACAACTCATTCTACACATAGCATGTTAGAGAGCCACTTGGTACACTTGATTCTTTCAGATGTTCAAGAATACCCATTTCCTTCAGAATACGACCTGTACAATTATCAAAACAATGTCCAATCTTATTATTTTAATAACATTAGTTGACAACAAACCACATTGCTAGCAAAGAAGAACATGTAATGGAAAAAGAACAAATCATATAATAAAAACAAAGCCTTAAGTTATATTCAAAATTTATTGCATACCTTTCAAGTTGTTAAATTAAAGACATAAGACCATGAGCCTAGTCAGGTTTGCCAGTTTGTTTAGGTATGTCGTTCCATGCCACTTGTTTTATCCCTAGCGTAGTTAAAATAATAGGTCAATGTGCAAATTTCTTCGAAAAGTCCTAAGATTAATATCATAACAATTAGCTTTAAGTATTAAAATTTTAAGCAAACAAAAAGAGTTATATTCAACTAAAACAATTCAAAATAGCAAAACCTTGTGTTACTAAGTAACCCACAACAAAAACCCAGCATCCAATTTCATAAAAAAAATAAACAAATTATGAAATTAAACCTCAATCACAATCAAAATAAACCTTACGTTCAAGTTCATTTCCATAACTACTCTAACATTCAATCAAAATACCACAAACAACTATGACATTCAATCAAAACCCTATAATTCAATTTAATGAAAATAACCCAAATTTGAATTGTGACGAACACGGTTTCATGAAAAATCCAAAATTGAAAACCCTAGCATCAATTGCTCAAAACTGAACAACCAATTTGAAACTATAACATTCAATTTCCTACAAAACACCCAAGTTAACACCCAATTTGAAAAAAAATTAAATAAACAACTAAAGTAATTGATATGCTATTATAGGCAGCCAAGCACACAACAAAACAATTCTTATAAACAAATATAAAAAAAGGAGAGCTAATTTAATGAAGAATTTCAATTTTTTAATTTTGTTCAAACTATATAGTCCTCCACATAAATATGCTCAAAAATAATATCAAGAAGGGACAACATTACCTTTGTCAAGATGGTGGTTCCTGCCTTTATTGCTCATCTTTTTCATTAGTTTCTATGCGCCAAACCTTTCAAAAGACAATTACATTAAAAAAAAGAAGAAGAAGAAATTACTACAAATGGACAAACACGCAACAGAACTTACTTTGGAGTAGGCCCTAAAAGAATAACCAAAGCAAATGCGAAATTTTCAGATTGCACAAACACACAATAGAAAAAATGAAAAAATAAAACAAAAGCTCAAGACTGAAAATAGGAAAATAAACTAGATAGATGAAAAATGAAACTAAAATACATGGACAGGAAATTAAAAATTAGAGAGATGAGCAATTAGTGAAAAATCAAATAGATAGAAAAATCCACCTCGTTGAAGCAATACTACAAACACTTGGTGTTCGAATTATCTTTTGCTTTGGCATTACTAAGAGACAGAGTGAGTGTTACAGAGAGTGGGTGGTAGTCGCTGGTGGTGGTCTAAATGGCTCTCTAAATATGGACAGTCTGTGAGGGAGGGTGGCGGTGGATCTTTGAGAGAGAAGACAATATATAGAGAAAAGGACGGTGACGGTTGATGGGGGTGGTCTAAATGACTCTCTAAAGATGGATAGTTGGGTGAGGGAGGGTGGCGGTGGGTCTTTGAGAGTCTCGTGAGACAGAGAAGGTGCAACTAGAGAGAGAGAGGGGGTACCTAGGTAACATCTACTGATTGAGCCATGGCAGAGGAGCGATTGATCAGTGAGAGAGAAGGAGATGAGGGGCATGAGTTGGATCTTTATCCGTAGAGGAGAGAGAGAGAAAGAGAGAGTTTGGCTTAGGTTCGAGTGCTTGGGGTGCCGTGTGTGTGCAACTAAAATGGGCGGAATTTGAGTATTGGATGGGATAGATTGTGAGTCATTGAATTTAATTAGATAAGTTTATATGAGATATGAACTGTATGTTTAAACTTCAATTAAATCCTAACCACTCTTTTGCTTTTCTAAATTGAGAAGATTGAATTTAATTTGGAAAGTTTGATATCACCTCTATCTTATAAGTATAGATGAGAGAGAGAGAGAGAGAGAGAGAGAGTTAAATAAGAGATAGGAGTCTTAAAAAAATTTTGCATAAGGATTGTCGGATCAATAATTATCAAGAGATCTGAGCCGCGAAAAGTTAAAAATAAAGAAATCTAGCTACTTTATTATATATAGAGAGAGGAGATGTGATAGTATATTTAAAACGTTTAAGAGATAAGAGTAAGAGTTATATGAGAGATAGGAGTGTTAGAGTTAAGTCTAATTATGATAGTCGAATCAGTATTTATGAGATGATCTGAACCGTCTTTTATGTTGAAATTATGTTGTTCATTAAATGTTTATGTTTTGTTTTAAAACAATCTGGACCTCTCTTTGTCTCCAAAATTCAAACTCAACTCTACTTTATTTTATATAGATATACTAGTTATTTCCCATGCTTAAAGGCACAAAATAATAAAAAAATAGTCAATAATAAGTATAATTGTATTCACACCCAAAATCAAATTACAAAGATAAAAGATAGAGAAAGGAATTTAAACACTGCTTGTAGTGGGGGCGAGTGGTGGTGGGTGACAGTGATGGTGATTAGGGGTGTCAATCGTGTCGGATTAAACGGGTGACGGGTGAAAAACGTATGAACCCATACATGACACGTTTAATAAACGGGTAAAAAATTTTAACACGAACACAACCAGTTTAATAAACGGATAATACGACACGACTCGTTTAACCCGTTTAATTTTAAAAAAATTATTTCAACAACTTTTAATACTCTATTTTTTTTTTACTACTAATTGCACTTACCTTAAGAGGAATTTTAAATCAAATCTCATAAAAATAAGACTTGAAGGCTTTAAAAAAAAAAAAGCAATAGGCTATTGATTTGCCTTTGTCTTACCCTCTCCATTTCCCTCATTTTCCAATGTGAGACAAAAATAAAAGATATTGATTTGCCTTTGTCTTTGAAGTGTTCTACAACTCCTCTCCTTTGTCTTTGAAAAATAAGACTTGAAGGATTTAAAAATAAAAGCAAGAGGTCATTGTCTTTTATAGGCAACTCAACCCTCCTTATCTTCCCTCATTTTTCAATGTGGGACAAAAACAAATGACATTTGTTTACCTTTACCTTTGAAGTGCTCTCCAACTCTTCTCCTTTGTTTTTGAACTACTACTTTACTTTTTTTTTTTGATTGATTTCTTTACTTCTTTTTTCTTGCTAATTTTTTAAAATAATTATTAATTTATTATTATATTAATTTTATTTAAACGGATAAACGTGTGATAAATGATTTGATAGGTCTCATTCGAACACGACCCGTTTATTAAACGTGTTTGGCGTGTCAACTCGTTTATCACCCAAACCCGTTAAGATCTCACTCAAACCCGTTTAATTCGTGTCGGTTAATCGTGTCGTATCGAATTTTGACAACCCTAGTGGTAATGAAAGATGGTGTGATGGGTGACGACGATCGGTTCTGATGGTGGCAATCGTAGGCGACAATGGTGGGGCAGTGGAGGTGATGGTGGCAATATTTTTTTAAAAAATATTTATGAGAAGTTATAAGTTCTAAAAGTACTTTAAAAAGTTATCTCAAACACACCTTTGAGGGTCTATTTTTCTTATTAAATTGGAGGTGTTAATATTAGCTGTCGGATTAACTTTAAAGTAAAATTTAAAGAGATTTCAACCGTGAAAAGTAAAAGTTATTTTATTTATCTTTTGAGATTTGAATTGTATTGTACTTTATTATATATATACTAGTTATTACCCGTGCCTGAAAGCACTATGTAAAAAAAAATTGCACTTGAAAATAATGTATAACACAATACCAATCAGAATACAAATCTTTATTTAAAAAAAAAAATTGACACAGTACAATCCTTTATAATACAAACTTCTCTAAAATGCTCTTATAGTTTTAATGGACAGAAAGAAACTCCTTGTTGTATTTGTTCGTTCATTATTGGGGCTAGAGAAAGTCCTCAATTCCAAGGAGAATTCGCAAAAATTTGTTTCCATTGAGAATTGAATGGAGTGCTAAAAATATTTTTATTTGACACATTGCGGACTTATTTGTTTTAGACACCCAATACTTCCCAAGCTCAAGTCATTATGTCTCATTCTCTTTGTATTAAAAAACTAAAACTCCACACTGTTTGCATCAATCCAAAATTAAAGTTACATAACACCAAAAAAAAAATCATTCGCTCACTCGATGAAACCATATATGAAAAAAAAAAACGTTCACTAAATGCTAAAATCAAATGGGCCACTCAAATTCATCGGTAATGAATTCAAAAATTGTCATCGTACAATCCAAAATAAAAATATCCAAATACTAAAGAAAACAAATTAGTTATCATGATCAAATTATTTTTTCGCACTAAACACAAAACTGTCTAGGGGAAAGTAAACACTGTGATCAGAATAGTTACTACTAACAACTATGAAATTTTACATTTCTAGTCCATGCGACTTTGATAAACAAAGAGACCACAAAAGGTAGTGCATGTGACTTCGATTAACAAAGAGACCATAAAATGGTGTTCAATACCATAGAAAAAGTACATGTGAATGCAATTTCAATTAGTTAACACTAAATCATAACAAAATGGGATGATATTCATAACCTACATATTATTCATTCATAATCAACTATGCAGGCAGACCTTTTGAGCTATCAAAATTTGATATTTTAACTCACCCAAGTGCTTATATTTATTGCATATTATAATTCATGGCTATTTCGAAAAATTAGTTGCAAGCATAACTTCAATTGTGATTTTCAAACCAATACAATCCTATCTTATAAAAGGGACAAATCCAACTTACAGAACACTGCCAAAATATCACCCAAATAGAACCCCTAAGCAATAAAAAATAAGTCACGTCCAAAATCAAATCTTTCCATTGATACATAACAAATGCATTGTTGAATATTTACAATAGAAAAAAAGAACAACACCTTCCAGTGTATTGGTTTAGATGATACCATCCACGACTTCAACCACATCAACTGTATTCATCTAAAAAATCATGTCAAAGTAATCATTTCAAAACCGACAACCACTCCATCCATAAAATTGAATAGGCTATAAACTAATTGAATCAACTATTTGCAAAAAATGGTAAGAATGACTTGTATTATGACAATGATAAAATTAAATAAGTCCCCAACATTTTTTTTTTTTTGAAAAATTTGGAATGATTTTTGGAAAACTTGTAACCCTAAGATGTGAAAAACAACAGACACCATTGCGTAGAATGAAATATGTAATAGACATCCCAGTTGAATAAGTTTAAAACTAATTAAACATCAAACCCTAATGCTGAAGAAGTTTAAATATATACCTTTCGGCAACCAATAAAGACCCATCGCTGTAAACAATGATAGGTTGCGGCATAGTGACGATTTTCCTTGATTTCGCAGTCGATGTCAAAGTTGAAATCGGGTCTTTCATAAAAAAAAAATTCCCACGACTAATTGCGAAAATAAAAATTCTAATTGGCATACAAACTAAAATTTGATTTCTAATTTGCAAGAAAAAATTAGAAAAAAATCTCAACCAAAATTAATTCCTGAATTGCAAGAAATCTATCCAAAGATCAAACCTTAATTCTAAAGAAGTTTAAATACATACCTTTCGGCAACCAAGAGAGACCTATTGCTCTAAACGATGACACGTTGTGGCATAACAACGATTTTTACTTGATTCTGCGGTCAATGTCGATGTCGATGTCAATGTCGAAGTTGAAATCGGATCTTTCATAAAAAAAAAAAAAAATCCTGCGACTAACTGCAAAAATAAAATTCTAATTGGCATATAAATTGAAATTTGATTTCTAAATTGCAAGAAAAAATTATAAAAAAATATCGGCCGAAATAGATTCCTGAATTGCAAGAATCCATTCAGACTGTGTACGTGATTAAGATTTGCATTTGTGTGGTGTGTGTGCAAAGGGAATATGTGGGTGTGTAGGCAGGCGAGTGATACAGAGGGGGGGAAGAGAGGAGGGAAAAAGACAAAGAAAAAGAGACAGAGAGAGGAGTCCTTTACCCTTGGTTAGCAAAGGGGTCAAAGAAGAGAGAGATATATAAACAAAATAGGGAGTGAGACTGGGGGTTTCTAGGTTACGATTTTTCGGGGAGGGTTCGGGAGGGGGGGTTATTTATAGGTTGGGGTGATAGAGATAAACAGAGAGAGATAAAAACAAAAGCGAAGAGAGTGAGAGCACAAAACCTAGTAGAAATGGCGGGCAGCGGTGGTGGAGGTAGGATGTCGTTGGTAGAGAGAGAATGAGAGGGTGAGAGACAGATGTTGGGTGGGTGTATACAATTTAACGGATAGACTGAGAGAAGAGGGGAGGATAAGAGAGATAGGGAAGATAGAGTCGTGATAGATTGGGAGAGAAAGGCAAAAGTGAGAGAGATAGAGGCAGAAATGAGACGAAGAGGCGTGAGACGGAGGCCTGTGTTGGGCGAGAAAGAAAAATATAGTACTCATTGTTGATCGTTAGATCATAATTTTTGAGATGATCTGAATAGTCTTTTATGTTGAGATTACATTGTCTATTGGATGTGTTTATGTTTTGTCTCAAAATGATCTGAACCTCTCTTTGTCTTTTGGATTCAAACTTAGCTCTACCCACGACATCCCACACATATAAAACACCAAGGAGTTTAAATTTTTATCCCCACATGTTTTCCCTCCCAAAACCATCTCATCACTCATTCTATCACATGTTTAACCATTTAATGTTTGATTAATTTGTAGTTTAACACAATTTTTGTTTTATTCATTGTACATACATGATAATGTACATGTGTTAAAAAAAATTTGTGGGGTTATACATTTTGAGAAAATTTTGATGCTACTTTTTAAAAAATAATAGATAAAAATTAATTTTAAATGATGTAATCAAATAAACGAAGAAATAAAAGGTTATTATTTTTAATATAGTGAGATCAATTTTTTAAACGTTCAAATCTTATATTTCATTATGCTTTTAGGCACTGGTTATAACTATATCTATATAATAAAACACAAAAAATTGAATTTTATCCCCAATGCATTTTCCCCTCCAAAGCTATCACATCACCAATTTCTCACAAATGTTCAATCATTTAATATTTAAATAATTTTTAGTTTACATAATTTTTATCTTAAACATTATCTATATTCTATACACGATAGTATATGTATTTTATCAAAAATTTTATCAAATTACGTATTTTGAGAAAATTTGAAATGATGTAATAAAATATATAAAAATTATTATTTAATATAATGAGATCAATTTTTTGAAGGTTCGAATTTTATCTTTTATCGTATGTTTAGGTACGGGTTATGACTAGTATATAAATATTCTGTTTGATCAAGTTTTAAATTACATATTGGTCTTTAATTAATTAAACTATTGGACAATTGCTAGATTTTTCATAGTACAAATACATCACTAATGTTCCAGTACCCTTTTTATTATATTAGTGTTAATATGTTTGCTAGCTAGTGATCACTTACTGTTGCACATCAATTACTATTACTGTACCATAAGTCCTGTTCATAAGCATTTCATTGTTCATATCATATAAATTATTTTTATGAAAAATTAATTAATGTTATTTCTCTTTTCTTGTGTAAGTTTTTGAATATTTAATTACAACCAATCCTTATCCTTGTCTATTAAAAAAAAAATAAACATAACACAAAATTAGCAAAGCCTAAAATTTGACAAATGTCTATTTTATGCTTTGAGAGAATATGTAACTTTTGTTTTTACAATTCAAGGGGTGTAAGTTTAATTTCCTTTAAGATTTGTGGGTTTTCAAAATTTTGATTTCTTGATGTTTGAAAACAAAGCCAAATATGAAAAAAGTTCTTCCTTTTCTCACTATTGGTTTGGCTTTTAGGTGCCAGTCCAAGAGCAGATTGAAGCACTTGATTGGCTTCATGCCCAAAACCAGCTTCTACCACGCTGTTTTTTCTCAGGCAGGAGCCAAAGTGTTGGTTCTGATTTACTTGTTGATGTAAATCAAAGAATCAATGGAAAAGGCCATACTTCATCTGAGGGGCACAAACTTATCAGTGTCGCTGGCATTGGTTCTGCTGTCTTCTTTCGCCATCTCCATCCATTCTCATTTGATGATTGGCGATCCATAAAGAGGTAACAAAATGTAGGAAAGAGTAAAAAACACTTCTAAATATTAAAAAAAAAAATTGATGTTTTGTGTTTCTTTAGATTTTCTTCTTTTTGCTCTTGAAAATGGTAGAATGAGCATGAAATGCGAAGAATGCATTGGGGTTTGTTTCAGAAACTATCTTCAAATAGTTTTCTGCAATATCCCATTTTCAGGGAAATGGGAAGAACTCAAGTTCAGATGATACTGAACAGTATGATTGTCTATAACTTTCAGGGAAAGAGCTTTATTTGATTTGAAACAAATTTTCTTAAATTGAAGATTCCATATATGTGATTAAGCCTGTTGCTTGCACACATTTTTTAGTTTTAATTTGTACTGGTAATTTAGAGCATCAAGTACAAAGAATTCATTTGATCACCCAAATGTGTTATGATGGTTTTAGGGACAACTTAGGATCATGTGGATGAAAGAAATTGGAAGAATTTATCACACAGTTTTTTCTGTAATTTTGAAAGCCTTATCTACAATATGGAATCCTAATTTATGTTCTTTAAATCGAAGGTTCCTCTCTGAGAAATGCCCTTTAATTCGTGCTTATGGAGCCATCCGCTTTGATGCAAGGGCTAACGTATCACGTGAATGGGAGGCTTTTGGTTCATTTTACTTCATGGTTCCACAGGTAAATACTTTGTTTTCCTCTCATGAAGTAGTCGTAATCATGTATATAAATATAATCAGGTCATGGGTATATCCTAAATGACAGGTTGAGTTTGATGAGCTTGAAGGAAGTTCAATGCTTGCCACAACCGTTGCGTGGGACAATGCCATCTCATTGACATACGAAAAGGCAGTTGCTGCACTTCAGGCTACAATGCAACAGGTCTAGGTGTTGCAATTTTTTTCCTTAATTACTTTCATATAAAAACCAAAGGTTTGTTTTCCTCATTTTCTGATATAAAAATAAATTTAGAGGCTTTTGTTTATATTTCAATTTGATTTAGCAGGTCTCCTCTATTGTCTTGAAGTCACAAAATGAAGTACCTAGTACATTCATCCTCAGCAATAATCACATTCCTGGTAAAACATCTTGGGCTCTTGCAGTTAATAGAGCTTTGCAGATGATAAACAGTAGCAACTCATCCCTCAATAAGGTATAAATAGAACTACATGTTACTCCACTATAGTATATAACCTTCTGTTGAGACAAGTTAAGTTGCAATAGTGACTGGCAACTGATGATTGTATCGCTTGACTAATATATTCTTGATTAGATGGTCGGATTCACAATGTTAAAAATCAGAATTTCTGAGAATTTCTTTCTTTTTTTACATGGTTGTGAATGTAGCACTATATAAATGCTCTCCCAGCCCATATTTACCATCTCTTTTACTTATTTTCTATTAATTGTTTTCTAATACATCAATTTCTTGTGGAAATTTAGGTTGTGCTTGCACAAAGCAGCAATGTTATGACCACACCTGATATTGACCCTTTAACTTGGTTGTCTTGCTTACAGGTGTTGTTTGCTTTAGTCATAATGTGTGACCTTTTTCGGAGTCTTACTTCAATTGCTAATAAAATTTAGTACACCTAACACATGCAGGTTGAAGGACAAAACTCTTACCAGTTCTGTCTTCAGCCTTCTGATGCACCAGCATTTATTGGGAACACTGTAAGTGCAATCATTTATCCTATCAGTTATTTAGAAGCCTGTCTACTCTTCTGCTTTGTTATAGGCTTTCTAAAACTACACTACATTTCTTTTTAACTGCATGTCAAAGATATATTTTTAAGCAATACGTTTTGCTTTATTAAAATAGAAAGCATTGGAAAGTTTTATGCGTTTAGGTTAATATGTTTTCAGGAGGTGCACCAAGCAGTTAGAAAGGCTTAAGAAAATACATCTAGATAATGCTTTTGACACCATCGTTTGTTCAATTTGTGTGTTTCTACCATGTGGTTTGAAATGGTACAAAATTGTAAGAGAGTGAAAACCATTGGGAGTCACAGGACAGCGAATCCCTTTTGTCATTCATTGATGTATTGGAATCAAATACGGAGACCTAATAATTAGCTCCACCATAGTATTATATTTATCATATTGACATGCATTGATATTTTGTGTTTTAATTGACCTGTAGTGCTGTAAAGATTTGTTATGACATGATCTATGGAATGCTGTTCCATTTTAGAACAAGTTTGTATTGTCGTTTGTAATTTCTGTGAAGGCTAACTTTATCTGTAATCTAGCTGATCAGTACACACTTATAATTCAGAATTTTTGGCATGCAATTAGTATATGATGAATGCACTGGACACTGAACTTTCCGTTAGATGGGAGCCTGAAGCCATTGATTAAAACCGAGGAGTGTGAATGTAAATTAGATGAAGAATGTTTGGTTTGTTGTCTCCTACGAAAGCATGACTAAGTTTCAGCCTTCAAAACTCGAGGCGTACCATTTATCACATGATTTGTCCCAAACTATGTTAGAAAATTACTCAAACAACAACATAATACGAAGCAGAGTAATTATGAGTTCTTGTTCTTACAGTTCTTCACTTCTTCTGGTCCTCAGATATCAGTAATTAGACTTATTCTTCTTACTTCATTAGTTGCGTAATGGTACCCTTTGTTGCCTTATTTATTTCAATCCAAAGTTTCTGAGTAGGGAATGCTAGTCATTAGGTCAGACACTCGAATTTTGGCTTATGCAAGCATGTTAACTGTTAGAATAAATCTGTGCTTAGGGATAATGTGATTATGAGAATTAATGTTACTAGGCGTGTTAAGTAGTGCTACCTCCAAGTTAACAGCATCCAATGAAATATCAATACATCTCCATAAAGATGTGATAAAAAAGGTGATGCCGAATGCATACTTTCTTTTCATCGCCTACGAGAAAGTATTTTTTTTGATTTCCAGCTCAGGATATGCATTGCATTGTCACTGCCTCTTAAAAAGTGATATTGGACATGTTTGCCATTTGTGCTTAGAATCACTATGATTTGTGTTTCCACCACAATTGTTTTGCTTGGGTTTTTTTTGAAAACATTAAAAATAAGGTATCATTTTGGGGGGAGGATGTGCCTACTGAGAGTTTATCTGTTAACCACTTATACATAACTTGTGAATAGCCAGAGCGACTATTTCACCGAAACAAGCTTAGCATTTGTAGCGAGGCTTTGGCTGCAACCCGAGCTAGAGGGGGATCGAAGGCCCTAGATCTTCAGATAGAACTTGATTTACTTTCCAGGTATATTACATTACTGAAATATGACAAAAATGTTGAATTCTTGTGTTGCTTACATTAACATATAAATGCCTTAATCATGTGACTTTTATCTGTGTACTTTGCAGTCCTAAGGATCACCTGGAATTTACTATTGTGCGAGAGTGGATCAGAAGAAAACTAGAGGCAAGTGATTTTGGATACCTTTCATATTAATGTGCGGTTCTTGTTTGTGATGGAGTTGCATATGTAACTTGCTAATGGTAAGGGGAACATCAACAATCAAAAGTTCATCAAATAGCACTAATGATTTATGTCCTTGTACTTCTTCTTGTTGTTAGTGTAAATTTCAAGTTAATACTTGTTAAGGGCATCACTGTTATGTGTCATTGCTTGGATGAAGTGAGATCTCTCCCCTCTCTCACACGTACACAACCCACACATTGGGTGGTTGCTCCATTATTCATTATTTTACTTGGAGTCAATGCTAAGCATCCCCCTTGGTGCTTTGTTTATATTAAGTAAAGAGCAGTATGACAGATGGCACAATCGCACGACAGAAAATGTATTCCATGCAATTTCATTGCCTACAAAAGCAGTTTTCTTCTCTGCTACACCTACCACTGCACCATACATGGAGTAAAATATGGCGCAATAGGGCTGTCGGCCTATATTGCCTTCACTGTGTTTTCTTAGTTAGTTGGCTTGCATCCACTTGGATTAATGCCTATTGAAAGTATTAGATCATCAATGCTTTTGTGCCTCTATTCTGCTGTGTAGGCTGTATGTGCAAGCGTAGTGGTTGAACCAGAGAAAGCAATTCGAAAACTCCCTAGGGTCCAACATCTCTATGCTCAACTGACTGGGAAGCTGGCAAGTGAAGATGATGAGGTATCTTCCGTGTTTTTTAGTTCTGCATGCCCGTTGATGATTTTTTTTTGTTGTGCTTATAAAGTAGGGCACATTCCAGAATTTCTCCTGTAATTCTTCTGCGGTGAAGTGCTTAGCAAGTTGACTCACTTTCATGAGATTAATCCTGAACTAAAACTCATCTTCAATGCTTGTTTTGTCTGTTCAATAATTTGTTGATCTTGCATGTTTCATACTTTAAAAATAACAAAAATAGATATGCAATAGATTATTTACTCTTATTTCGATAAATTTAAAGTTCTAATTATTTGATCATTTTCCAGTTTGATGTTTTGTCATCTCTTCATCCAACTCCTGCAGTTTGTGGGTTTCCTACTGAAGATGCGAGGCTTTTAATTGCAGAAACTGGTACTTGTATATTTTCATTCCTTAGCAAGTCTTCTCATAGCCAAATTTCGTGAACTTAATTTAGTAGCATGATTGTTCATTTTTTTAGATTTTCTATGTACAAAATTTGGTAAGATGAATGGGAAAAATACTCTAGGAAACCTCTTCTTGCACCTAAAGGGAAATTACTGGTACTTTGGTAAAGGTCGCAAGAACTACTACATTGATGAATATGGTGGCAGTGGTATAAGGTAGTTTTATTGGTGATGCAGGTGGGTTTTTGATAGACTAAAGAGTAAGTTTTTGGTGGTGGTGGAGAGATGGTAGTGATTAGTACCATCGTTCTCCATGTTTTTTCTTAAATTTCCAAACTACTGAATTTCATTTCATTAAGTCCAAAAAAATTCATATAGCACTGTTCCGTAATCATGGTGAAGCTGTATTTTGAGCAAATCTACTTCTTGAGTGGAGTTCTAACTCTGCTGCATAGAATTGCACCTTAATTCCAGTTTTGAGTTTTGGAATCAGGAGTGCAAAGTCACTCTTTACTTCTTCCCCAATGCATGACTCTGGCATACCAGTGCAGAAATTATGTAAGAAAATCATGTGTACATAACCTGAATTGTTTCTACAAAGTCAATTCTGGGGTGTGATTTGTTTGTCCTTTTCAGTTGGAGAATTATATCTTTCTTAGTTATTTGGCAGATGAACATGCGTTTTAGTATCACCTAATTATGGTTTCCCTTTGCTATTAGTCATGTGATGCTATTCTTTAATTTAGATGCTCTGTGCCACAGAAATGTTTGACCGAGGGATGTATGCTGGTCCTGTTGGATGGTTTGGAGGAGAAGAGAGTGAGTTTGCTGTTGGAATAAGATCAGCTTTGGTGGAAAAGGTAAGCTAACCAACCTACATACGTTGGCTACAACCTTTTTTTTTGACAGTAGGCATAATATTGTCATCAAAACTTCTTTTCAATGAAAAGCAATGATTATTTTCCGAAAAAGAAAAGATACTATGCAACTTAGTTGCTCAGAAAAAAATAGGGACTCTTGCACATTAGACAAACTAGGGATTTGTCCATTTGCATTCAAGTGATTGGAACTCCAATCCACCACAATTGGAGAAGGCCTTTATAAGTAATATGAGAATGGATATATTTTGCATACTACCATCAACCTGTCTCAATGATAATTTAGGAGGCGTACATATTATTTTATAGTTGTCACTGCATAAAATAAAGTGCTAATACATTGGAATCTTAGGGTAATGGCGCATTACTTTATGCTGGTACTGGGATAGTGCAAGGAAGCGATCCATCTGTAGAATGGAAGGAATTGGAATTGAAGAAATCTCAGGTTTCTTTTTATCTGTTTATTCTGTGTGTGTGCATGTGTACTGCCATGCACGAAAATATGAATATTTGCACAGGCTTTTACTCGATGATTTTTGATATTTGAATTCAATCTTGTTCACACAAGTTCATCAAAGATGATCAATTAATATATTCAAAAGCATTTTGAGGAATATTAGTATGATGTAAAGGCCTTTCTCTTGTGTTTTTCACGCAGTTCACCAAGTTGATGAAATGTGTGATGCCTATCTAGATACCTACAAAGGATGATGTAAAAATTATCAGATGAAACGGTTAGTGGGTTCCAACCTAAAATTTATGCCTTGCATCTTCTTATGAAGATTATTTATGTACATTCATATTTTCACTATTCCTGTGCTTGGCTTCCCCTGAAAGACTTGACTTACATTACCATTTGGCAAGAGTTAACATTGAGCACAAAACGACACCAAAGTTTCTGCTTTTACAGAAATGAAGATAAAAAAAAAACTTTATCGAATGTGTGTAGTCTTTCATTCATCAATTTTTAAGTTAAAATGGTGATGTGCTGATCAGTGATCTCATCGTAATCTCAGTTCCCCCAGCTCAAGTGGCAGATTAGATCAAGTAAGAGTAATATGAATGTATTTCAGTCATTGTATTCACTGAAGAGGAGGAGATTATCTAATGCCCCAACCCAATTTAAGGCCAGCCACGATGCGCTAGGATCAATGTATTTCCTCTGAAGTCATATTTAAATTTAAACTCTCTCTCTCTCTCTCTCCTCTGTTGTATTTATGTTTCAATCTTATGTCATTTTCTTTCTTTCGGGCTTTTCACATTTTGTATCCTTAAAGATTTCAAAAATTTTATTTTGCACTATGAAATGTTAAATTTATTACATTGCACCATCGATGTATAAAAAATGTTAGAATATAACCTTTTCGTTATTTTTTCCGTTAACAACCAATTCATTTACACTAACGCAAAAATTGAACAGAAAGTTAAAAAAAATGTCACATTATAACACTTTTGATAAATTAAAATTGCAATGCAAAAAAATTAATCTTTGAGAGTTTAGAGTAAGAATTGTAAAATCTTTTAAGGTAGAAAGTATAATTCACCCTTTTCCTTCCTTTGGGATATATATTATTTTTAGGGTTTTGGTGGGTATTAGAAAATAAGTAGTCAAGTATGTGATCCCTAACTCATTCTACACGTTAACTAAAAATGAAAAATAAACACATTGCTTCGAAAACCAAGGGCAAATGCATACACTCTAGACGGTGAGGTGAGACGAGTGCTATCTTGCATTCACCTGTTCCGGTTTGTCGCATTTTCTGTGCTGCGAACATGAGAGCGAGACATTCCTTTTAAATTGGTTATACCGGTGCATATCTATCAAAAAAATAGACAATCAAATCTAAACCTATTTCTCAATTCAATAGAAGCCCACAGGTGTGTTTGATATATAATTGAGAGAGAGAGAGAGAGAGATGATTCCAAGAACTTGAAATTGTATGAATTGTAAGCTACATGGATATTGAAACCTAAGTAAATATTGTGAATCAATCTTTTTCCACGAGTCCATGACAGCCACCCATGATATTATTAACAAGGTTCATCAAAAGCCTACAGCATACTAAATTATTCTAAATGAATTGTCCAAGAAATAACAAATTACAAAAAGGGAAAAAAAAAATTTCCATCCAAACGAATAAAACAGATTGAACTCATGAATATTACAAAATATGGAAAATTAGAAGCCATTCTAGAGAAACAAGCGATTCCCAACACCATTCACTCTTTACAGAGACAGCAAAACAGAACAAAATGAAGATATCCCAATCCCAAGGAAACCAATAAATTGCTTGCCTTACTGCACAAATTTGATGCCTATGGTCGTTGATATACGTATTTTGTTCTTGGATCTACTATAATTCCCTTCCCTCCATTCACTTCTAAGTCGTGTCTGCATATAAAACAAAATAAATAGTAAAAATTAAGTGTGAAAGATCTGATTCCCTATTGGCATCAACATTGTTGTCAGGATTAATGTGTCAGTTCCAATATAAGGTATAAAACCGGTATTAGAGGCTCGCCCTCGACATAAAACAAGGCACCTCTGGTAATTGTGGCCAGTGACCACTGCAAAACCTCACAGTAAACAGTTCCTAAAGAGAGTTCCATTAGCATCGAAGAATTTAATAAGACAGCACAGAAAACTCAACTGAAACACAAAGTCAGGAATGGTCAGCTGCTCACGAGGAACATATCTGAATAATTGGAGAAGGCGATCAACATATACCACTTTTTTCCACACCTGGAAGTCAGTTCCGAATAACTTCATTAGCTTTCAGACAAAGGAATATAAGGTTCAGATTCTGAGACAAGGACCATTCATACCACATTATCAACGAGCAATTGCAAACCAAAAACTGCAGCCTTCAGTCCAAAAGTTGGGTGGAGGACATATATGGCCTACACAACAAAAGGATAACTTAGATCTAACAAAGCAGGCGTTTGCACTCTTAAATAATTTAAATTATAACATTGCATACATGAAGATTACGCTGGTGTTTCCGACCAAGAATTTGCTGTAATCTCCTCATCCATCCCAGATCTGGTTGCCTGTTTACTCCATTATACAGGATTCGAACAGTGAAAATGTATGAGTGTGATACCGGAAGTTAATCACTCAAAAATTTAAAACAAAAAAATTGCTGAGCCAGGAAGATTATAATTTATTTTGTATGATAATGTTATATTGGTCAAAGCCGAAACCTAATCATGAAGTTCACAGATATAGCGCATGCACAACTTCACTTGGTTGCAAGGTAAAGCCAGAGGACAACTACTTCCTTCCTTTGCTTTTCTTTTCAATAAGGGTAGCCCCAAACTTTAGTTAATGTTGAGAATTACCATTAAAAGACCAAAGAACCTATAAGCTCATTATAGACCATAAAAAGATGCTGCGGAGGGGCAAAAGAATAGTACGAGGATAGAATACTCACATTTGTAAAGAAGCTGCAGAGTGCAAGTAAACGATAGAATAAGGCTTCTGGATCAAGGGTTCAAACTCCTGAAATGCAACATTCATGATAAATATTCTAGTTCTTTCAGACAACACTACATGAAGGACAGAGTTCAAGGACACACTGCAGTACAAGAACCTAATGCATGGATAATCAATTATCAATCAACAGCATAACCAATGGAACCAGATATCTAGCAGTAAAACTGCAGCAGCTTGGACACAAGAAGCTGAAGCAAGTTCTAATTACCTTTACTACATAAAGCACAAACCGCTCCAGGTCAAGACATCTTAGCAGAAAATGTGCTCCCACAACCACCATTACTGGACGACCCTCACTGTCAACCCCCCCTCGGTAACTGAAACAGAAATTAGGCGCTCCATAAAATTTTGGATGTCAATCAGCAATTCATCCACCAAACTAAACATATACTTGAAATATGCAAGTGTTCTTATAATATGAGGTACTCTTTCCAAATATCAATTCTGAGCAGCCACACAGTTTGCCCCATCTTGGTGAATTGCTTTCCCATGCATCGACATTGTTTGTCACCCCTTACAGACTATAATATAATTATTTATTTACCAACTTTGCAGAGCTAATATGGAACAATGCTAACAAACATCCTGAGTCTTGACCACTTCATTATAACAAAAGCTACAAAAAAGGCCACGGGTTATGTGTCAGAGGCAGGACTATGTATTTGTGTTGAAAGGCCAGACCTCAGTTATTCAATGTTCAGAAATACATCCATCCTTCATATACTTATATAACATAGTCAAAGCAAGTAAAAGAAAGGTATATAGGAGCCTATTTTATAGAGAAATTAGTAGTGTTTTAGTAATGGTTTTCAGAGATGACCACAGAGAATGCAGAAATCAAATATGCAAAGGTATGAGATTACAGGGCTCTTAAAAGGGGAGCAAATTATGCTACCGTATGTTTACTACACAAAATCAAGAGCCCACAGTTGCTTACAGAATTTTCATTTCTGCAATTTCCGAAAGATTAAGAGAGTTCGCTTTTGCAAGATATCTAGAATGGAGGGAGTATTCTTCAGCAGCAGATAATGGAGGTCCCCCTAGGTCACCATATCCAAGCATTTTAGCACAGTTCCAGCCACTTTGTGCTTGAGCCGTTTTTTCCCATTGTTCCTGTCGTCGCTGATCTGGATCCTTAATTAGGGACATAAAAGCAGGATCCAAATATGAATCCAAATATGACGAGCTCCTGTTAAGAGAACAGTCAAAACGGTAAGACAATTACTAACATAGAGGACCCAAAATTTACACATATAAATGAAGACAGCCCAATGCCTGTGCCAAAGCTGTACCAATTGACAAAAGGAGTAAAAACATGAAAATCCAAGAACACAACCGCGCAAAAGATGCGGTGAGTAAGAAGGAAGTTTTCAGTTGGTAATTTCAGCAGCATTGTTCTTGCCTCAGCATGCAAGAGTTGCTTCAGTTTTAGCCCCACTATATTAGTCCAAAAATACCATATGAACTGTAAACATTGGGGACAAAAAAGGAAGAACCCTGTTGAATTACCACACAATTCTGAAGCCAGATAAATGATTACTGGGCTCTCAAGTACAAAATTACTCAGGGACCTATTGCAACAGATTTGCAGTTGCTGTCTGAGCTTGCAATGCCAATGCACAGGCACAAACTCTGGGTCTTTGGTTATAGCTTGAAACACTGAACTCAGGATTGACCACAAAAGAACAAAGTTGAGACTTTCCAATTATATATTGCCAGTACCTCAGCCCCTTATTTTCTTTTCCAACCAGAAGATCATTCTAACCACCAAGGCATATGGTGATGTAGATCATATAGCTTTGATGCTGGATATCATATGGCCTAGGTGGCATACAATTTTTCTTGCAAAAGCATGATGAAAGAGTAAACCCTCCCAATGGAAATATATGGAAGTAACATTTTTCAAAAGATGAATTTATCAAGAACAGAAATTTTCATTTCTCCCCACAGGGTGCTTTTGCCCACACAAACAAGCCAACGTTACATGCCATCTAATCAGTCACTTGTCACCAAAAAGCAAAAAAATCAGTCCTTACGGAAAGTTTGCATGCCAATTAAGTATCATCCTGGTATCCTTTTCTTTCCCAAAAGATCTGACACTTGGCCCAACAGAGGAAAAACTTGTGGCAAATTTGAGAATCAAACATGCTTTTATACAATCTATCCAACTAGCACAGAAACAGATCAGTCAGGAGAAGATATCAATATAGATCCCTCAAAGCCATAAAGTGGCAAGCTGTTTCATCTTCCATCAAAGAACAGATCAGTCCTTGCACATACAATGTGTCACATAACAAGGAAAATTCTGACATCATTCTACTTATTAAGATATATTACAATCATACAGAGAAAGAACAAAAGTTTGAAGCTTAAGCAAAAATCTATATTGCTGCCCAAACTAGTACAACATAGAATGACACAAACCCAACTATTAGTTTCAATTCCTTTGGAATTAAACATACAAGTACAGACACACAGTTTATTCAAATACCATGAAGAAGCTCTTCTTGGTGAACCAGTTACAGAATCTTTTTCATTTGTCAAATGAAATTTCCTTTCTTGGGACTTCATAAACCAATGCTCTGACTTCTCACTGATGATCTCACAGTCTTTTTGCAAGTGATTGGCTCAATTATTTCCATTCATTGCCAACTCAACATTACTGCATAATTACACAAGTGACTGAACTAGGTCCACAAAATAACTGAATTATCAAACCATGAACTGAGCTGCACAAGATTATTGTCCACCATTTGGCTCTAACTATGTCCCATGCTGTAGATCACAGGTGATATAAATTTCCTCACCACCTAAATACATGTTTTTACCATCCTTGTTTCATCTTAGAGCACACCCAAGCATTACACCAGAAGCCTGCCAGCAAAATATTATGTATATTGTACCAAAGTACTCTAGTTGTAAATTGACAGATAGGGCTGAGAACCATTTTTGTGATGGACAAACACAGATTCAGCTTCAGCACAGCCCACTGTTCTCGCATGTACTCACACAAGAAACATAAAAATCTGTTTTTTTAGGTAACTAATACATCTGGTTAAATACAAAATGAGTTCGAAAGATCACTAACCGTCTTGCCAACCCAACGTCACTGACAGGAAGATCAAAAGAGACTTGGGGAGATCTAGGAACAGTGTTCTTCACATTGGGCAAAGGTTTTATTCTGATTTTACGTTCATCAATAATTGTCTCACCATTTTCATCCCCAACATCTGCAGGTAGTTTCGAAATGGCCACCTCCTCCTCATGTTTATCGCGAGGAAAATAGAGCGGAAGCAATCTACATTGTAAAATGGTACTAGAATAAACATCCAAAGAAATTAAAATATACATTAGTCAATCATAAATACGATTGAGATCCGTCTAGACAAAGGTGTTGTATCAGCTCACATGGAGGACCAACGATATACCTTTTATATATCTCAGTATCAGGTGATGATGTTGTGCAAAAAACAACGGCATTAATTCTATCTTTCTGTTTCTCAAGAAATCGTCTAACAGTTCCTGGTCAAAAACACATAAAAATGAATTTGAGGGGATAAAATAAGAAATACTCCCCCCTCCCCACACACACACACAAAAAACACAAACCGCAAAAGAAAACAAAAAAAATACATATACATGAAGTAACACAAAAACATCCATTTGTATGGATATACCCATAAATATGCATGAATTATAAAGTTTTATAGTATCCAAAGATATAGGTAACGAATTCACATATGCCCATGGTGTGATTGTAATTTAAAGTAGCATATCATTCACTTGAAAAAGTGACAAAATCAAGCAAGATTCATAACATCGTATAGGAAAATCTCACTTATTGCCACATGAGCAGCTGGTTCGCGTGGATAATTTTTTGCCTCTGTGTATATACAGCCCATAGCAATACTGCAGTAACACGTGTTACAAGATGGTAATTTCCAGTTTTAAACAAATTAAACTTGATGAAGAGAGCATGGATAAATATATGACTACAGCATCTGGATGCCAAACAACCTTTGGAGTCCACTTTCAATAAGGAGTTCAAGGCAAGACCGATAGCAATGACTCAGAGCATTCTCGGCAGCAGTATGATATTTCACTGCATACTTGGGACCAACAGTGTGTATGACCCTCCTACACAAAGATTAGGAAATGTCATTCAGTTGTAAGCCAATAACTTGGGACCAACAATATGTATGACCCTTCTACACAAAGATTACAAAATGTCATTTGGTAGTAAGCCAAGACCTAACAACTCAAATTAAGCAATTGAAGTATATACCCAAAACAAAAATATACAATAATTTCACATAAAAATCTATATAAAGCGTAAAAGATCAAGGATACTAAGCAACCTACACCAGAAATAAAATTTAGACCATGAAAGTTATGTCCAGCTTAAATGGCTCACATTTTCCAAACTGGTGTTATAATACATACAGTGATATGGAGGCTGGTGCACCTAAAGTTTCAACTATATTGTAATATCAATATCCGTGACCTTATACCTTATACAGACAAAAACAGTGTGCGACAGGGTGCAAACATTGACCCAGTATACAATGTTGGTTACTTTTGTGAACAAGCAACCAGCAATGCACCATAAAAAATGGCATGTGTACCCCTCTCATTTATGAAAATTTAAAGCAACATGGAGCATGCAGAATAAATTAGAAAACAACTATACAATTGCAATCTTAATCTGAAGTAATTATGTTAATATTGTTTCTCCAAATTCCTAGTAACATATAAGGACACAAAAGGGGCATAAATAAGCTTCTATATCTAAAAATCACTCAAATGTGATATCGAATACTTTTGTGGATAACAGAGAGATGCTTTGAAGGTTAAGAAAATAATGCTTTAATGACAACAACAGTTTCCTAGGCACCTGGGTAGGGGCACAGCATCAATTCTAGATAAAACAGTTCTATATTTCTTCAGTCTCAGCATATCAGTGTTATGGAACAAAGAAGGATTGTCAATGCTAACTATTAAACAAAACTATCACCATACCCACCTTGCAGGAAGGTCATATGCATTAGTAACTTTTGCCATCCCTGTTCGGCAGCCACCCTGAAAAGAAACAAATTAACAACAAAACTCTATTGTTTCAAAAGTTAATTACTTCCATCAAAGTGACTTCATCAATTTTTTATCAGAAAATAGTGGGGTAATGTTGGAAACTTGGAATACATCATAGTGCGTATTCTGATATTCAAACAGCTTACCAGAGTGGCACATTCTTCTGCAAGACCAGGTCCAGCAGCAGCATGCAAACCAGGGGTACTGTGTGCCTCGTCCAAGTTCTGTCAAACACCCGGTAGGAGATAACAATCAGATGACAGCAGGTCACCTTGTCAGTGACCCAAGCTGGAAATGCTTAAAGTTGCAGATGGATAAAAAGGATGCTCAAGCATCTGCTTGGATGGAATAAAAAGAATTGGCCCTACAATGCATGTTCCCTGTGGTGGACTTAACTGAATAGTATGCGATTTAGAACCATACAAACTTATGAATATTATTGGAATGAAATGTAGGTAATTAATGGGAAGGAGCACATAATTTTCAAAGGAAGATTGTACACACAACACAGAGATTGGGTGGGAACCAAAAAGGGACAAACATAATGAAAGGGGCTACTTCCCTGTAGGCAATTTTGGTTGAAAACAACCAACTGATCACAGTTAACTTGGGTTCACATGGAACTACAATAAAAGCAATGGAGTTCCTCATTTCAGATAATTGGAGCCACTACTAAATCCACTTCAAGATTTAATTGTAAAATTGGAATTAATAAGAACTGAAAAGAGAGGAAATTCATGAGACCAATTTTAACTTAAGGGCCCAAACTCTCATATCCAGGTAGCTAAACAGAACTTGATTTCAACTTTCTAAGAAAAGAGAAATTTTACAGTAATTAGTCCTCAATGGTGAAGAAGAGCTATTCAAGATTCCAAATCTGGAACAAAAAATTACAGCTCTGAATTTTACGCACCATGTAATATTACGAAGCCAGTGAAATCAAGTCTAAAATCAATGCATCAATGTCTCTCTCCAATATCCATATTCACTATCTAAGCCCACGTGTGCCATTTGTAAGCAAGCATTTGAATCATTTCCCTCTCGGCATAAATATACAAAACCATGCATATGTGAGAAACACATGCAAAAGAGGCCAATGAAAAGATGTCAGTTTGCGGAAAGTATCATCAGCATTAAGTGCATTTCAACCGACAAATTTATCATTCAGAAAGAATTTAGTGCTCACCTCATTTGTTGAGTTAACAACAGCATCTACCTCAAGGTTCCATGGTTGCCCTCTCCATAGATATATCTTCAAGTTGATTTCATGATCAACAGGAAACCTTGAAACCGTCCCATTCCCACTACTCTCTGCCTCAGAAGAAGACATTAAAGGGTCGGGAAAGTATGAATTTGGAAAGGCCAAGTCTTCATTCTCATAGGAATACCTATGCTCAGAATCACCCCACCGCGGAACTTGATCAAGTGTCACAACAGGATCTCCACTATCCGTCGGTGGCCCTCCACGAGTAGTGGTCGCTGCCACAGACCGATACATTTTCGCAGCACTCAATCAAATCTTCACCGCCCCTATTTGCCCTACAACCACTGATATTTCTTTTTCCCCTTAACGTATCCGAAATCTCAAGAACATACTGCAATTTCAACAGCCTCACAAGAATTTCCACCTAATCGAATCCAACATCCCTGAAACAAGAAAATTCCAAAAAACAAAAAACTACCCATCACAACACAATGAACCCAAATTTGTGTAACCATATGATCATAAGTTTCATCCAAAGAATCCCCCTCACTTTTCCTATATATAGAAATACTTGCAGAAAAAAAAATATATTCATTGAGAGAGAGAGAGAGAGAGAAATTTACCAGCGAATCGATGTGAAATTTGGGGAACAACGAGAAATAATTTTGTGGGGTGGGGGGGGGAGAGAGAGAGGACGACGACGGCGACGATAATTAATTTGCAGGAGCTGGTGAGCTTGGCGGAACGTGAAACTCCCAACTAGGCCGGACTTGGATATGTGAACGTAATTGAATTTTAATTATTTTCTGGTTTCGGTTTTGTCTTTTTGTGTGGTTTTGACTCGTGTTGCCACAACTACCCCTTTCTTTCCTTCTTAATTCCTCCTGAAACCTATTCATGGTCTCCATTCACTATTGTACCTTAAGGGGTGTTTGGACAGCCAAAGAAGGATCCGGTTTGATTGGATTTCAATCCGAATCCAATTTAATTTAATGCAAAGTAGTTTGGGTTATGTGAGTCCTTATGAATTAAATATCATCCTATCCCATTTTTGAATGGAGAATATTTGTTTTGTAGACCCCATTCACATATGTAGATGGAAAATGGTGAAATGACCATTGCACATTTTATAAAAGAATTTAATCTTTTTTGGGTTATCGAAGAGAGAGAGCAAACCAACTTTAGTAGATCTGTAACGTCCAGGGAGAGAGATAGTAAATCTGCTCGAGAGACAGAGCAAAGCTAATGTCATCGAAGTAGATCTGTTACTTTCATGATATATATTTTTCATGAAGACTTCAAAACACCAAACATTAGTAACAGACGAAAAAAGGAGAGGGAGAGAGAGAAGACGGTCAATAATGCAGTATCAAATGAAGTGGTTCTAGCTTCCCCAATTTGTGTTTACATCAAGTGTTCCCCATTACACAAAATTTCCAACCATAAAGAGAGGGAAAGAAGCAAACCAGAGTATTGGTAGATTAGGCTTGCGCGCGTTCAAGGAAAGGAGGGACTGGTGGGAATGTGAAGTGAAATGTATATAAGAAACCCTAAAATAGTTATTGTGGACGGTATTTTAGTTATTTCTCAATTAATCCTACCTTTTCACTCCACAATCCCACACTTCACATGAGTTGCATCAATCTAGCTGAGAGGGGATTAAAGCCTTCAAAAGCTATGGCCGTGTTTTCCAATAACCATAAATATCCCATCCCAAAAACTTACCAAAGCATGGATATGTGGGCTCATTCACAATTTTATCCCAAATCCCCTTGTAATCCCCTCGAATCCTTTGATTCAAACACCCCATAAGATCTCAAGTTCAAATATCGTCTTTCCCTAATAATTTTAAGGATAGCTTAAGTGATAACAGTGACGAACTATAAATTCAGACGTTCTATATTCGAATTTTGATAATCCCTTTGAGATCGGAGCATGAGAGATTTATCTCTAATGAATATCCTAGTCCCAGCATGGAAATTCTATCTTTGACCGAACCGAAGATAAGATTAGTCGAGGTACTCGTATGCTAATCCGAACACCCTTGATCGTTGAATAAAAAAAAATATCATCTTCCCCTGTAATAGTACCTAATCAAAAGAAATAGACAATACCAAGAAAAATGATATAAGAACTTAATTTAGAGGCCTGGGGGTTAAAATCAATATAGTTTATTGAAATAATTGTAAGTTTTTATATTAAATGTAGTCCACCTTTAATCCAATAGTCATAATTGATTAAGTCCCTTCCAAATAGTATTTTCCAAAAAAAATAAATAAATAAAATATTTAATATAATAGTGACACCACGTCATTACCGTCATATGATGTTCCCAACCAAATATGAATAAATATATATGACTAGTAGATTCTACTAAATTATATAACCACCATTAATTTTTCATCTTCAATAACTACTATGTGAGATTAACGGGGTTCAATTGTTTTATTTGTTTGTTTATTATTGGTTAGTGATGATGTCGTGTAATTGTTATATTCAATATTTTTAATTTATGTGTTTGCAATAAATTTCTTAATTGATCCGGTATACATAACTTGTAAATGATCATAGGCATTTTGAGTTTAGGTTATAAAGTGCATAAAGAAAGTAATGCCCATTCATTTGAGTTAGAAATGCATAAGAACAGCAGTTATCCACTCACAATATGTATTTCTTTGGTGGCTGTTTGGTAAGGGGGGTATAGGGGGCTCGGCAAGATGAGTTTGGGGAAAATAGTCCAAAGGACTCCCAAATCTCATGTTTGAATTGAAAATTCAATCTTGAATTTTCAAACCCAACCCATAGTTGACCCGAATACTAAACCCATGATCACGAGTTTCGTCAAACCTAAGAGAAGGTGAGTTTGCAAAGATAGGTTAAGGATACAAAAGACAATTGTACCGTTTAACATAAGCATTAATTAGATTGATCAAATATAAAATAGTCATTTACAAGACAAATAATTGTTAATAATTATGATATATATGTGAGTCCTACATGTGTATGTGTTGTATACCAAACATAGTTATGAACCATATTCAATGTTGAATCTCTTCTTTATAAAGAGGGGTTTGAGTTTGGAAGGTTTTGTAAAAGTCAATCCAAACCCTCCCCCAAAAATCTATCCAAACTAACCCTAGAAGGGTTTCAAATGTTGCAAATATAAATTGAAACAAAGTTGTTCACATTATCGTATATAGATCGACGGATCAAATTTCTATTAATTTAAATATTCAACAAATTTTATTTTGGTTCGTATTCAAATAGGTTAAAATTTGATGTAATATAAATAACGGGGTATTCTTGAACCAGTTATTTATGCATGTATATATAATTCAGATTGGATTCTAATTGGTCGAATACTAGAATCTCCAAATTGAATGCATGAAAATATATGGGGGTCTTGTGTAATTACCCGAGTATTTTTTTACCTCCCTTATGAATTTATATGTGGCAATTGATAATATTGGTACTTTTAGGTAATTGGTTAATTTTGTGAAGTCTTAATATAAATCTCTCAATCTAATTACTTGGTCATGATGTTTCAAATATTAAGTTTCGAAAGCTTTAAGGAAGAACAAAGCTCTAAGCATAAAGCAAAATCAAGAAGAGATATCTAATGCACCTTCAAGTTTATGACAAAAGTAATAACTTGAATACCTAAGAACCATTGGTTTATTTATAGATTTAAGTTAATTAGGATAATAGAATTGGAATTAGGAATATCCGTGAATAACTCTTAAGTTTTTCAAGAAAAAGATTTTCTAAATCTTAAATGTGTTCTGAAAATATAGAATGTATCATACTCTATTTAAGTAACACCTTTTAGAGCTCAGTAGACCAATATTTTGTTAGGTTTGCAGCTTAAAAATTAGTAGGGACTGTCCTCCACTCGTTTGGTTTCGGTTAGAAGTGGTCAATGATTACTTAGGAATAAAGTCAAGTAAGGTTGACGAGTTGGACAGTTGAGACTGTCCTCTGGACGCTCGAGTAGTCTCTACTCCTCAGATATGATTTAAACTATTTTTTTCATTTCAATGACAATCATCCTCTAATGACTTAAGCGATTGTGTTACGAATTTGTATTTAACCCCCAAGAAGAACCTAATTCTTGACTTATATAAAAAAGGTAAGTCTTCTCAAGTTAGGGTAACAATTCAAATCGTTATTGTGAGTCTATTTTTTGCCTCCAAAACCTTTAGAGACCTTATAATAACCCTAAATCCTCAAATCCTCAAAAAGTTATTCATCTTGATTCTTCAATTCAGCTTCACACGTTGAAAAAAAAGATCTAGCATAGAGTTCAACAAAATCCACTTTGAAGAAATGTGCGTTCCAAGGATCTTAGTAGAGAGCATTGCATAAAGAATTTAGAAAATTCATTGTGGTGAGTGAAGCTATTCATAACTTCGGTGGAACTCTGGAGGAAAATATATAACGAAAATGAGCATCGAACCATGATATTAGTTGAAGTATAAGAATCAAGGAAAATTAATTCAACAGATTAAATCAATAAATTAGATCCAAATAATATTACATCAAAAATCTTAGTGATGGAATATTCTTTATGAAACTTCAATGGGATTTATTATAATGTGTCCAACTTTCTTTGGATTAGTTGGTTCTCAAGGGTGTCATCTAATTTCATTGGACCAGTTGGTTGTTGTGAGCCTCGTTGGATGGACTTATATTTAATCATTAATCTTAATTAATAATAACAAAAAATTGTTTAAAAAAATATTATTCAAACTTAATTTATTGACTTAATATATCATAAGTATTAAATTAATAATGAATCTCAAACAATAGTAAACCCATAGTATCTAAATTTAAAAAATCTATCTCGTACGTCCCCTTTCTAAAAAAAATGTACTTTTAAAATTTAATTTGTAATTTAATTTAATATAATTATTGGACTAAAACTTAAAAGTGAACCCCTTTCTAAAACTAAAATTCATAACTAATCAAGGACATTGAATTAAGTCTTGGTCCGAAATTAGATCCGCATTTTTCTTTCTCAAATCAAAAGTGAATTTTGGCGTTAAATCATAAGAAAGTTACGAATAATACTATATTTACCGACTTTTCTTAGTAAATCTTTCGATTCAAATGATGTGACACAATTTCTATCACCAATATTAACGAGACTTATTTATCTAATGGTGAAATAAAAAATTGTTAAAAAAATTTAGGGAGCACAACATTAGTTGAAATTTATTTTTAATGAATTTTGTATTTATAAAGTAGATGACTTACTTTTATCGGATTAAAAGAGTTGGAATACGCGAAAACCGGCCCACACAGCTCACAGTCGGGAAAGAAAAATCACAAGTGGACTGTCGGCAACCCACACAAAACAAGTGGTCCACATGCCAACACGCAGAGAACACTGAAAAGAAGAGCTTCAGCTTCATGAAAATCTAACCACCCATGACCCACCTATATATATATATATATATCCACTGCTGATAGCAAAACTCATCTAAAAGCAGCTCCATTTCTGTGATAATTCCATTTTCTTCCCAAAATCCTTCTTTTGATCTCAATTATATCACCATCCATGGATTCAGATTCTCAGAACAAGAAGGAGCACCCCATACCCTCTTCCTCTGATCTCTTCTCCAGTGCTAAGCTGTTGGCTGAGGCGGCGCAAACCAGCTTAAGCGACGGATATGACAAGGTTGACAAGTCCAAAGTAGCCGGAGCAGCCTCTGACATACTCGACGCTGCCTCACGCTACGGTAAGTTTGAGGACAAGGCTTTCGGTGGGTATGTTGAGAAGGCTAACAGTTATCTGCACCAGTACGAGTCTTCCAATCCCACCACCACCAAACCCGGTTCTAAACTGCCAACCACCACCACCACCACCACCACCGACGCAGCCGACAAGACTTCTAAGTCGGAGGAGGATGGTGGTGATAAATCTGGAGGTGGGTATGGGGGCTATGTCAAGATGGCTGAAGGTTTATTCAAACCCGGTTCTGAACCGCCAACCACCACCACCTCCGACTCTGCCGACAAGCCTTCTAAGTCGAAGGAGGATAGTGGTGATAAATCTGGAGGTGGGTATGGGGACTATGTCAAGATGGCTGAAGGTTTCTTGAAACCCGGTTCTAAACCGCCAACCACCACCACCGACGCCGCCGATAAGACTTCTAAGTCGGAGGAGGATGGTGGTGATAAATCCGGAGGTGGGTATGGCAACTATGTCAAGATGGCTGAAGGTTTCTTCAAGTAGGCTATCCATTATGTGCTTTATCCAAAGTCCTTTTAGTAGTACTCCTACTAGTTCTATGCTTGTCTTTCCCTTTGTTGTTTCATGTAATCATCTTTTGTTGTGAAGTCTTTGTTTGGACTTTTTGAACATTTTTATTGTTCTAGTGTGGATGTGTGGGTTAACCTAAGAACAGTGAACATTTATGTTCCTATGTCCCAACTGTATCTTTTCCTAATTTAGCTTTGTAATATAATTAACTCTCAAGGACTTTGAAATAATGTTTGTATATTTGTGTTTGTGTAGACCGTTCTCGTTATTAGATTTTAAGGTCAGAAGATCTCCTGCTCCGGGGAAACTCTCTCTCACACACGCAAACTTGATTATAAGATGTATGAATTTATATTTCACTGTTTATTTTATTTATATTTCGGTTGACAAAACCAATCAATGGAGATTGAGGGATGGAGATGGTTGTTTCCCCTTTGAAGTTAGCCTAATTTCACCCCCTGATGGTTATGGCATCAAGTAATGTTGTCACCCTTTCCTCTATCTAAGAAACTAATTACTAATCTAATTTTCTTCAAGATTTCTTTGATTTGACCTCAAAAATAGGATAAGGTCCCATGACTCCCATCCGGCTCCAAGTGGCCTTATTTTTTGGTTTTACTGTCAGAAATGTTCGGACACAGTTCAACTAAATTTTTTTCAAGTTTGATTAAATATAAATTATTTATGTCTAAACTATGACATTTACGAGGATACCAAAAAAAATTATTCAGAATTCTCAAGTAACTTTCCCTTATTAGATGAGATACAAGATTCAATCTCATCTATGAGATTCAAGATTCAACCATACAAACAGTTGATGACTTGAGCAGTTATGATTTATTACCTGATTTTTGTTGCTGTGATGTCCTTTTCTGCAATGATACAACCAAATAAATGAAGAGAGAGATTTCTCACCCACTTGACCACTTGGTTGGTTTGAGATTTTAAGAGATTTTTCTTTTTCAAAGGGTATGTACATGTTCCAAACCACAATCAAAGTCCCACAGCATGTGGTTGGCCATTAGGGCATCACTATAATATCATATCTGTCAAAGATGTTTGATAATTCAAAATCAATGATGAGGGGGTTCCACACTCAAGTTCCTTATCTATATCTTCTCTCATAAGGTGGATCTTATCTTGTCAATGGCATATTCCAATTCCATACGTATATGTAGGCATGCTAGTTTCCTTTTTTTATTAGTGAATTCTTTTTGCCCACCAATTGATTGTGGGTCTGGATGGAGGTAAAACAAGTTTTCTTTAAGACTTGGTTAAAAGATTTAACCAATTCGATTCGCGGGTGGTTGTTATTGAGGTAGTTAAAAGAAAAAATTTGTGTCTTCAATAATAATTATAAATTTTTGGTGTAACAATAAATGTTTCGATTCAGTAATTGATATCAGAGTAACGTCGAGTTCCAAGATAACTGTTAGGGGGAGACGGTTGGCCTGGTGCGGGAAGCCAGCCTACTAACGGATGCAGCACAGTCAAACCATGCTACACTCGAGAGTGACTGCCAAGAAGTCATTAAGCTCTCCTCCACTGAGGATGACCCCCCTTACGAAATCGGTGCTCTAGTGGAAGATATCAGATTTTTTCCTCACCATCTTTGTCTCGGTTTTTTCTACAAGTCAACAGCGTCTAGTAGGACTGTTCATTAGGTGGCAGCTACAGCGTTGACTGATTCGTTTGCTGTAAATTGGGTAGCCTGTTCCCCTAGCGAGTTCAAGGCTTTTCTCTATAATGATTATAATCAACATTTTTTTACTTAAATGTTATCACAATTTCTTCTTTTGATTAAAAAAAAAAAAACCCTCCTTAGTGGATCGCCTCAATATTTCATTCAATCCAATCTCATAATCATGGTCATTCAAAATTTATCAATGAATAATGTTATTAAAATTTAAAAAATTAATATAATATATTAATTTAATAATATAATACGATATAGTTTAACAATATTATTATGACCGTAACTCTGAAACTTCTCCATTAAAACTCATTTAATTATTATATTATTAAATTAATAAATTAAATTAATTTTTAAGTTCAAAACAGTTGACCAGCTGTGCAAACCGTGTTTGGCCAGCCTTACAGTATCCCACTCAGACGAGTGAATTGTCTTCGAAGCTCTTATGCCAGTACCCAAACACGCCATGAACACCATAACATGAACCTTCCAGGCAGAAGGGTGAGGATTAATGTCACATTGTACCCTAAAAAATGCTTTGATTTTTAATTTATACCCTCAAATATTAAAAATATTAATTTATACCCTCGATAGTATGAATTGTAGCAATGTGGACCTTGCTAGAGTTGCAAGTGTTTCAGTCATGGGCTTATGTATAAATTCACAGTCTGTTGGCGTCTCATGTGAATTACAGATGACAAATTTAGCCTCTATTTAATTAATAAAATTTTATTTTTGATACATAAAATTATGTGAAATTGACCTCAGATGAAGATTTGTAATGATAGACGCACCTCATTCTTATGTCCAAAGCACTTGCAATTTATGTGCTTCAATTTATGAAAGAAAATGGAGTGACAGTCTGAACGATGTCTACGTTGCTATCGATTTATAACATTGAAGATACAAATTAAAATTTTTAATATTTGAGGGTATAAATTAAGAATCGAAATATCTTTTGAGGTGTAAAATAAGATTTGCCCGAAGGGTAAAACCGGGAAACCAACCAGTAATCCGTCAACTCTCTACCAAACAACTCTGAAAAAGCCATTCGATTCCTCCTTTCAATCCCTCTTCCTTCCCAAAACCTCCCTTTCAGATCTCCATTTCTACACCACCCCAAACCACCATGGACTCTAATTTTCATGGCAAGACCACCGCCACCCACCACCAGAACAACCACCACAAACCATCAACCTCTGAGCTGATGTCCAGTGCCAAACTGGTGGCTGAAGCAGCCAAAGCCACCCTCAGCCATGAATCCGACAAGGTTGACAAGTCCAAGGTAGCTGGCGCCGCCGCTGACCTCCTTAATGCTGCCTCGAGTTATGGAAAGCTAGAGGAAAAGAGTTTTGGCAAGTATGTTCAAAAGGCAGAGAATTATCTCTACCAGTACCATTCTACCACCAGTTCTGGCCACCACTCAACCACCACTAATACCACCGGACATACTTCCTCACATTCAGGTGGGGACGGCCATTCTGCAAGTGGGTATGGAGACTATATCAAGATGGCTGAAGGTTTCTTGAAGAAGAACTAATTCCAGATTTCAAGTATGAAGTCATTTGGTTTGTTTTCAGCAATCATCCGGTGAATTAAGTGGGTTATCATATGACTCTTTGTCTTTGTGTATGTTTTATTGTTTGTTTGTTTGTTTGTATTTGGTTGACTCTGTGGGGGCGGTTTTTGTATTTAGGTAAATTTCTTAAATACCTTTGTTTTAAATCGTTACCTAAACTTTCAACGGTCCTAAATTTTATCAGAATTAGGGTATTGACGAAAGAAAATCATTTTGTTGAGTTAAGTTGAAGTGAGCCATGTAGGAGTCTACGTTACCCATGCAATGATTCTTCTTAAAAGGAGGATGCCGACCTAATTTAAGGAAGGGATTACCTTATCCACACCTTCATGTAGATCATGTTTGTGCTTGTTGAAATTAGCTTCAACGCGTAACGGATGCTATGAGAGAGGGAAAAAAAAAAAAGGAAGAGGGAGGAAAAGAGAACGATCGGTGCGAATTTCGTGTATTGCATGGGAAACATCTCTAATAATCTAAAAAAGACTGTAATTTAACAGTTTATACTTAGGTGGATTATGTCCTAATTTATTTCTTTGAGATCATTAAATGGGATTACGGTATATCCACCATCGTCTCTATTAAATATTTTGGACTCTAAACTATTTATTTAATAGATGAAGCTGAATAATTTTGCTTGTATTATGCCTATCAAACTCACTTTGCTACTTAAACTTTCTTTGTGTAACCTCCTACTACTTCAAGCTCATCTTCCAATCTAAACCACCTACAAAGATTTACAACCATGCACCTCGACGCATGTTCTCATGTGAGGCTTGACAACATTACAGTTGAACTTGGATTATTGTGTGGACACGCTAAAACTAAAAACTATCAAAGTGAAATAGATTTTGAGTGGTGACAAAAAAAAAGTGAGTAAAATTATTGTATTTATTGCAAATAAATCGGCAACTACGGGTGTTTATGTCTAAAAACACTGTACTTAAACCGAATTTGTTTTTAACAACTATTCATTTCGAATCGTGTATGATTAATCATGTATAATTAAAAATATGTTATGTAGAATCCAATCGTTTACAAAGCAAGTGATTTAAGGAAGACAAAAAATTCTCTAATATCATATGTGGTATCGTGTTAGAAGGGTTGTGCCATATTTTAACATTCTAATGACAAGTGGTATCACAAACTAATAATAATACACTATATAAGATAAATGAACTTCATTATTCCATTTAGGCGGGAAGGCCTTTGGACGTGGGTGATGATAGGCTGGGGCTATCCCTCATCGGAGCCTTTGGGTGTGTGTGTGGGTGGGGGTTATAATCATGATTATAGCATTTCTATTTTTAAGAAGAAATGTTGTAATTTGTCTCTAATAAAAAAAAATTCATTATTCTAAATTTGTTATTATAACTTGTTAAAATATTGGGATTCATCACACATATAATATTATTATTTTTTGATAAATCACTACATATATAATATAATATTATTAATTAGTAATGTATCACTCCTAACGTAGTATTACCGTTATTATTGCCGTCCAATTGAGATTGGACGAGTGAATATTCAATACAACTGTGATATTATGTCATCAATGGTACATAATATCACTATCTAATATTTTAGTTAAATTTTACCTCACTCCTCATAAAACAACGCCGTTTTGATTACATTTAACAACCAAACTACGCCGTTTGACCCAGCAACCTTGTTTCTGTGAAACATTCCCCAAAAAAAAGCTCGGAATTCGTTTATCAAAATCAGAGAGAGAGAGGGCGAGTCCTTCCTCTTTGATCTCTCCTCTCTCCCGATTTCTTCAATATCCAGCGATTTGAATATCAGGTACGATCTGCAATATGTACATACATGCATAAATATTTTTATTTATGATCATGCACATAAATCAATCTGTTCTTAATTCTATTTGAATTGGATTCCTCCGCATTGCTTTTTCCTCAAATTGGTAATTTGCTCCATTTTCCGTGCAATAATGGTGAACAATCAAGAATCAAGAAAATCGAGAAAAAACAAGATTTACGTGGTTCGGTTCGGTAGAAATCTTACCTCAATCCACAGTAAGGGTTATTCTCACTATTCCCGACATACATGAAATGCGTATCTGCGTGTATGCAATATATGTTTATGTGTCGTATGAGGCGGCGATCACGATGCTAATGAAGAATGTAGAATCTAGGTTTACGATCAACATTGCTTCCTCTATGAATTTTCGTTGTTCTGTATGTCATTTTCTTGTTTAATGTTAATTAATTAATGCGGAAAATTGCAAAAAAAAAATAAAAAAATTCACTTATGTCTCCTATATTTCATCGTAATCATCGACTTTTTAGTGCCTGGAATGAAATGTGATTTTAATTACGAAGATTAATTAACCAAGTTTGGTCGTTGTTAATCAAAAGCGCAGGGAACTCCATGCAAAATCATTGAAATTATAAACGAAAAATGGGTTTCAGATAACATATACAATAGTATTTTACAATAGCAGGTGTGTTACAGTCCATTTTAAATTCGCAGTGAGCGAGCTGCTATTAACATTACAGGAAATCCAAAACAAAAAAGGGAAATTATTAATGGCATAAGAATGAAAAGAAAAAAGGATGCGAATATTTTAATCTGACTCTGGGCTTGCTTTTCATGGTAAGGACTAAGGACTAGTATTTGCTATTTTCGTCGCATCTACGGAGGCAAAATTGCCAGAGCAATACTGAGGTGTTTATTTAGTGGTGATACACAGGCTAAAGCTTTTGGAGAGCCAGGTAGCTTTCCACAGTCTCATTGAGTCACACTGCACTTAGTTACCTGCTTTTTGATGGCTTATACTTATCTATGTTTTTTTTTGCTTGCAACCATAGTCATCTACTTCATTAGAATCTTCATGTCTTACTGTGTCATGTGTTCTATGAATTTTAGCTTAATGATGAGTTTTACACCCATTGAAGGTATAGTGGTTTTTGTCTTTTTTTATGAATGCTAAACCCTTTTGTAGTAACAATTATTGGTAGGGCTTGTTGTTTGGTATTTGGATTGCCTTTATGCTTGGATTCTTTCTGTCTTTTGCTGCATGGACAACCTTGACTTTAATTAGAATTCATATAATAGACATAAAAACTCTGTGAACCAAATGAGACTTTTGTGTCTTTAGTTATTGTTTTGTCTTTTTATTTGTGGATTTTGTTCACTATTTCATGCAATGATGGGTAATTGGATTCCTAACCGTGTACCTTTTGCTTCAGGTTTTATTTGAGGACCTACACCCATTGACAATTGACGTGGGAAGTAGACTGATTTAAGGCTCAGTTTGACGTCCAGGAGGGCATATGTTACGTATTTGCACAAGAAATCATGAGTAATACTCATTTTATGGTTCTAACTACAGAACTCTAGTAGTAACTGCCAGTTTAGTGCATCAAGTTGGTCCCCTGCCATCATGTGGAGTTTTGTTTCAAATGCCATTGCAAGGAAGAAAAACTCTAATGAGCCAAGTACAGCTTGTCTAGGATTCTCGGATGATGAGATTTGCTCAGATGCAAGCACTGAGGAAGGTTTGGAATGCCCTATATGCTGGGAATCGTTTAATATTGTTGAGAACGTGCCTTATGTCTTATGGTGTGGCCATACACTCTGCAAAAATTGTGTCCTAGGGCTTCAGTGTGCTGCTTTGAGATTCTATGCTCAACGGGTCCAGATTCCATTCTTCATTTCTTGCCCGTGGTGTCACTTGCTAACGTTGCGAATGGTTTATGAGGGAAATCTCAAGTTTCCTCGCAAGAATTTCTTCCTTCTCTGGATGATTGAGAACTTGAATGGTGACAGAATGAAGCCTCATTCTTCCATTTGTGGGGATCATCAACCAGTTTGGTCTCCAAGGAACACTTCAGCTCTCAGAAATCACTCTAGCAGCACTAACCACAGGAGGGTTCATCGTCTTGGACATTGGGGGTCAATCAGTAATGATCATGACAGCATCAGCAATAACCATACTCTGGAGAGACCCCATCTTTCCCTACACAAATCCCTGCATCTCTTCCTTCAGTTTACAGCCAAGTTTCCAATGATTATCCTATTTCTTCTGATTTTTATTTTTGCTATACTTTCCAGTGTTGCCATCCTAGCCCTGTACCTGCTAATTACAGTTCTCGTTGCACTGCCAGCTTTCTTGGTATTGTACTTTGCATATCCTTTTTTGAAGTGGCTGGCAAGAGAAATCACTACATGAAACTTTTCACTTTTAACTGGTAAGAGAATTCTACTGCATGAAATATTTCCCTTTTAATTGGTAAGAGAATTCTATGTCTCCGATATCTCTCGTCTTTGCCTTAGTAACAGTGTATTTTAAAGACTTTTTCTTGCAGTTATACAATCTGCCTTATTGAAATGATGATCCCTTTTTATTTTCAATTATCATCTGTGTCTTATTGAAGTGATAATCCCTCCTTTTCTGGCTTTGGTATTTTTTTTGAGCACTTCTAAGAGTTTCATGAGTTGGGCATGTCTTAGCTTCTTAAATTTGGATTCCATTGATTGCACTGTCTTATGGACCTTAGCTTGCCATAATTGGTTAGTTTTTCTTTTGCAAGCATAGTCCTTGGGTAACTCTAAAATTTAAGATGTGACAATGTTTGAGCAGATTTCTTCCCTTTTGGACTAAACTGTTGTAGTTTTCAATTGAAGGTTAGCTGCAACAACGATACATATTTTGATTATTAATCTGTTGCCGCTTCACTGGAACCAAGCTTCCAATTACCAGAATGATCCTTACCGTACAGGAAGATGTCATCTGTTAGTTCAAATATTATAGTGCCAAGTTCATTCGGGCCAGTTGATTTATGTCAAAACAACTTGGCAATAACAACTCCACAACCCTACTTCCAGTTTTTTACTAGGAAATGACTTATTTACCCTTGGTCAAAATTGGTCATTATGTTGGGTTTTGTTTAGCATTGTGTAGGAGGCCGAGAACAAAAGAGATTATATGCCTTTGTACGTATACACATATATTTAAAATGTTTCTTTGTAGCTCATATTAAGTGTGGAATTTGAGGGAATTTTCAAAGTTGGCAAAGCGCTTTCTAGGTTTCTTTGTGCCATTGCATCAGAGTGGTGTTTGGATATAGGATTCATTTGTTCAAATGAGGATTAATTTTGAAATAGGATTCGTTTTGTTCTAACGAGGAACAAAATGAGATAATGTTACATTTTTAGTTATTATTTTTACTAATGTAATATTTTCCAGTGAGAGAGGTGGTCTTCCTCTTCCAATTTTCTGAAATAAGGGTTTTCCGTGTTCTTTGACAAACCTAAGGAGGTCCAAGTACAGCTTATCCAATCATGTATTTGAATTGTAGTTAGTTTATGAATGACATTTTCAATATCTTTGTAGCTGAAATCACTTTTCCCCTCTCAAGTGGGGCATGCCCTCCAGATTAGTATCTTAAGATTGTTATGCTCTCTCTCTCTCTCTCTACAGACCTCAGCAATGCAGATGTTCATGAATTGGATCCAGAAAGTAGTTTTCTGACCCACCCTGGACATGCTATTTCATGATAAATTTTTGTTGACAATTGAACTCGCAGAATATCTTGTATATGGAGGGGACTTGTTATTCTCCAAGGCTATTTAATAGTTTTGTTTTCTGTGCTTGATTGTTTTCTTTTTTGGTCTGAACGTGACAATGGGCAAGACGAGGTGGGGTAGCCCACCCCACACCCATAGCCTTCCTAACCTGATGAAGGCAGGATTGATTCCCATGTGGCTATGATGATTCAAAATTATTAACTTGGCCAGAAAGCTATTTTACACCTATATAATAAAACGATATAAAAGTACCTTTTAGATGAGCTTTCCTCTTTCACCTCAAGGTTGGACATCTACATGGTCCAACCTTGAGGTGGAGAGTAAATAGCTTTCAGATCTGCTAAACTAGCATCATCTAAACGTCTTTTTGGGCCAGATGCTCTTATTCAAACGGTGATAAACCGAAAAAGCATCTGACCTCTTGCTCTTTCTTCCATAATCAATGATTTCTTTGTATGGGTACGTATATTCATTTGGTTAAGTGCAATTTTCTTACTGCACTACAAGTTTGGTTAAGGGCAAGTTTCTACGATATTTTTGAACTACTGCACTAGAAGATTATTTTATTTGACAACTTTCCAAAAACTCTGTGCAATATTCTCATTGTCATTCCTAAACAGTTGTGTAAACATTGTGCTTTCGACCTGAGTGTCCCACAATGTCAATTTATATAAGCTATATTTTGTATGTTTTTCTTTCTTTTCTGATATCCCAGCCTCCCCAAAATATATCTGGCACAATAAGTGAAAGCACCATGTGATTATTTGCCAAATTGCATGGACTAAGGTTTGTACCTGATAGGCAGCTCAATATCTGAACCCATTTCTCTTTCCATAGGACTTATTTATTTGGTTTAATTGATGGTACCGTGTAGTTAATTTAGTGATTTCTCATCCACATATAATGCTGAATCATGTAAAGGAATTTCGGTTTTTGAGTTGATTACAATTGGAGAATTTTATAGATTCTAAGTTTTTACAAGTGTATGATGAGGATCAGAAGCAGAAACATGTAGCCGGGAATCTCCCTGTCAGTCTGATTTTGTTTGCCTTCTCTTTCACCTTGAACTCTTCATTTCTTTGATTTTCCTCTGCTTGTGCTCTCGCTCCTCCTGAAATATGATCAATGCTTTCGATCTTGCTGCGGTATTGTCGCAAGGCTTTTGCTCTTTTCCTGTCTAATTCAGCCTGCAGTTTGATTATGTTAGTTTCAGCTCTGGCTGATCAGTATTTCATGCTTTCATAAGCTTTACGATAAAAAGAAAATGAAACCTCTGTTTTACTCAATCGGGTTTTGGCTTTTGTCTTCCTCTCATTCTCCCATGCAAGAATTCTGGCAGCCAACTTCTCATACCTGAAATTAATGGGAGAATGACATATGATTTGATATTTATGATGAAGAACTTATAGCTGAATTTTGAATTAGGTGTATATGTTGGGGTTGATGCCAATTGAATTACATTGTACTTGGTCCATTTAGATGGTTGTAATGTGCCAAGATTTATGACTTAGGGAGCCACCGTCAGTGATGATAGAAGGAAAGATGGAAGGGAATTTTAGGTTGTTCAACCATATGCGACAAATATAATAATAGAACATACAGAATTTAGGTGAAAACTAGAAAGAATTCAGGTTGGAATGACGAGATGGGATTTCTTAGACAATATGGTGCTGGATGGATATGAGAGGAGTAGGATTTATGCAACTGAGCTTAAAAGTAGTTTGGATAGACGCATTGTTGTGCTGACAAAAACAAAGTCTCAAAATGAGAACGTACTTTTCTTTGATCTTAGCCATCTCAGCTTTCTCCCAAGCATCTGCCTCAGACTCAGTACCTCCAGGTTTTGTTGAACTCTGCCTTTTGATTTCTGCTGGTGAGAATGTGGATTGTTTGGTGGAGGGAAGTTCAGGGTTTGGCACTTGACTTTCAGTTTTTCTACTGGCTGTGCGGTCAAATAGCTTATCTGCAAAAGTTGGAGTCTTTCTGATGGCTGGAGCAGGATAGATGGATGTTCCGAGCTCTGCATTTTCAGGTTTCTTATTAGCATTGTCATTCGAGAGCTGATCTGCAAAAGTTATTGTCTTTCTGATGGATGGGGCAGGGCCAACGGACTTTTCAGGCATCTTCCCATCCGTGGCTATGGTTTTTTGCCCCCTATCATCTGGAACATCCAAATTTTTCATTGAAACGTCATCTGGTATTTCATCCAAATTCATGCAAGAACTGGTATTGAAATCTCATATAACTGTTCTAAAATTGTTTTGGAAATTATTTTTATTCACTTGCATTCTTACCTGAGAATCTTCTGGATCCCCGACGAGATTCTGATGCATGAGTTATTTCTTCTGATTTACTCTTGGTCTTGGTCATGGAGGTATCAAGGCCCCCACCAGTCTTTCTCTGATCTGGGATGTTTGATTCTTCAAGCAATTTAACTGCAAATGCAGCTGCTGCAACTGCTGTTGGGTACTCGACACTATCACTGATATCATAATCCCGGCCTGTTTGTCCAGAAAACCGTCTCTGGAGCCAGTTCGGACTTTTATTCCTCTCTGCAAAACTTAGCATCATGGTTTGTTTTAATTGCTTCATCTATATATCACACCGATGGGAAGAGAGACTTGTGACGGATATTTATATGACAATTAAGGATGCAACTCTTGTTGAATTTAGCTTTTATTTTATTAAATCTATTTTTTGAAAATTAATTTGAGTTACATTCTAACAAGCTTCCCCCTCCTCTTTCACAAACACAGACCAACAAAAGAAAAAGCCCACCCATCCCTAGGAGAAGCATCGCATGAAAAAGTATTAGTGTACCTCCTTTGAACGATTGAGTTTTTTGGGGCAGTATTCTTCTTTCTTCGATGCTGCCAACCACCTCTTTGGTTTCCTGTTCTCTGTGAGAATATCTCGCCCTAACAGGAATGGTCTGTGGTCTTAAGTACAGATTTAGAGGATATAGACATAACACCATCAGGTAATAAACATTCTGTTCTTTTTCTTTTTCAGGAACTTATATACATGGCTGATCATGTAATTTGCTTTATTGCTCCATGCCTGACTTTTTGTTAAATTCCCATAGCATTGTTCCCACTGTGCTAGTTTCTGGAATATTATTCATATATGTTTTTTTCTTTAACAAGTGAAAACTTGAAAAAATTGCGGAGGGAGGCCTGAAGCTCCAACCCAGATTGAAACCTGGTCAAGAATATCCTTCCCTACCGGCCTAGCCCTAAATTGAGTATGAAACTAGCTGGACAAGGATTTTGTCATAAATGATTCTGACTAAGAAACCATTGATGCAATTTATTACAACAGTTGAAGAATTTGTTGTGGTAAAACCTACGAGAATTGTTTAAAATTGCATAAATTGAAATGACACACTCCTTTTTTTTTTGTCAGTTTTTGTGTATGCAATTCTGATTATGTCTGCCTATGTGCATGCATGGGTTTGCTTACTGTGTACAAGATTAAAGGCTATATTTACCTCATTTGCCTTATCAAACTATCCATTCTTTGAAACAGCACCTATTCTGAAAGTTCCTGCAGAGCAATGGCTTCTTATGGTGTCATGTGTTGGTTTTATTTGAAGGAAAAGCACAGGAAGGAGGACGGCTTGTTGAGGTTGTTGATAGGCTGTAAATAGGGATGGGAAGGCAAGCAAGGTGGGATATGCTTTGCATGCGAGGATTGGTTTTGGATCCTAAACCACCGAAGGAAAGTATTCTATCTTTCTCCTGTTGATCTCTTCTGAAGGTAGAAGCTTTGTATCTACTTTTTGTTTGTTTGGTTGTTATTAGCTGAGTATTTGGTATTTGTTGCTATATTGTAAAGTTTGGATGTGTCCAGTTATCGATCTATTAGACTTGAAATTGAGATCTCGAGACAGTGGCCTCCCAATCTAACTTGGCCCATAGGTTTAGACGTTTTGTACTCCCTTTCAACTTTTATTTTTTGGGTTGTTTCAATATCTAAAACTAAAGTGAAGAATCTGATTCTGAGCTGAGGTTTTCTGATGTTGAAATCATGCGCGTGCACAGGGGACACTTTGAACATCTGATCGGTGTTGTGGTGGTGCTACGAGATGACGATCCATTTTTTCTTACTATGTTGAACATCCAAGAGCACCCTTCAGCCCATGAGGTTTAATTTAATACTGAATTAGTAACTCAAATTACTTTTCAGTATTTATACATTTTACCTTGGTTTTAGCATCAAGCATTTGGACGAAGGGAGACAAAAGATGACAATTTCCACAAAAAGTTGTCGCAATGTTTCTGTAATGAAAAATCCTCATTGTACCGAGATATACCAAATGGTAAAAACTCCAAGTATGATTAGAATTAAGATTGATAATTAAGTTGAATCAGTCGAGTTTATTTTTCTAAATGAGTTAAAAAAAATTACTTAAATTCAACTCATTTATAAAATGAGTCGAGCCTGAATTGAACCAAAATGAGTTGAGCCCGAATTGAGTTTTTTAGGTTTTTTTTTTTTAAATGAATCTAAAAAAGTTGTTTAAACTTTGATTTGTTTAGAATCTAAAACGAGCTTGAATTAAGTCAGTCCTATACGAGTCGAATATAAGCTGAATTCGAATAAAGAAACAAAAAGGACTAATTTCATTTCGCACCTTAAAAGATGCATCAATTCTCAATTTATACCCTTCAAAGAATTAAATTCTCAATACATCCTCAATGTTATAAAACCAAGTGCAACGTGATCCAATTTCAAGCTCAAATTGCATCCTCAGTTTTAAATTTCACCCTTGAATCGTACTACATTACATCTGTTTTATAATATTGAGGATACAATTTGAGAATCTAATTTTTTAATGATGCAAATTAAAAATTAGAGCATCTTTTACAGTACAAAATGAGATTAACCCAAACATGAAATAAAAGAAAAGAATTCTAAGAATAACCTTTCTATAACTGGAAAAAAAGATAACCTTCAAGAAGAAGGGCCTTTAAAGTTTCAAAGAAGCAAACACAATCGAATTGGTATATAAATTTATGTTGGCACAGAAACTTCAAAGGCAAGAGAGTTGAACGGGTGATGAGAAAAAACAATAGGGTCTATTTACCACGCAATGACATTGTCATGTTTATGCACACCTAATGAAAAGTTGGGGGCCATATGAATTGACTTTTTCAAAAAAATTTATGACAAGCAACAATGATTCATCGGGCATATACACTTTTTTATATGACACTGCAATGTGATGTGTAAAACTTGTACAATAGGTAGTGAGCAATGGCTATTGACTGGAGTTTAACTAAAAAACGATAAGAAAACAACACGATGTACGAGATTTTCACCACTATAATAAAACTTGGGGAAGAGAATCAGATTATACGTAACCTAAGTCACAATGAAACACATCAACTTCTATGCTAAAGCCCACCCCTCTCTTCTAGCTACTAATTGGAGTTGCATGATCAAAATTAGGAAAAATGACAAGTCTAATTTATAAATAAGCTCATTTCCCATTTATTCTTGTCTTTTTGTAGGGATGCCAATCGCCAAATGAGAGCATTAGTTCATAGAGAAATAGCTCTCAGAGCGCGAATTTGCGCACGAGAGCATTAAAGAATTTAGAAAAAAAAAAGAAAAAGAAATTAAGGGTTTAACATGGCATGCAAATGAAACAAGAGACCCCGGCTGCTCAAACTCATACAAATTCCCAAACTAAGAAATAAATATGTAAACCTATAATTTTTGTTTGGATACATAAAAATATATAATTTAAAACCACAGATACCCAACAACTTTTCCCAACCTAAGCTATATAAACCTACAACCTTCTCATGGAGAATTAGAGGAAAACTATCTACGTGACATTTCGCAGAAAATAAAGATAGCCAGCCAGTCAGACGACTAGTTTTTTTTTTTTTTTGGTATTATAGTCAGAAGTATAAGGACCAACTTACGTGCACCTCAACCAGCCAACTAATTCTATAAACCGCCAGCTTATTGAGTCAAACTCACCCTTTGTATTAGCAGCATAACTGAAACTTCTTCTGAAGCTGAGAATCTGTAGTTACTCGTTGTCATCAGTGTAGTTGTCATCACTATAGTGTTCATATATCTGATAATCCTCATCACTGGTTTCAGCATCTTGCAATTCATTGCTACCTGGTCCATGAAATGGAAAACTACCAAAAAGTTCTTGCAAGTAGTTTTGTGATATGTTCCCATGGGCTGTATCTGATCAACATATAGGAATTCTGATTGCGAAAAACGAGGCATAAACATCATCTTATTGGTAAGAAACCAAAAGCTAAAACCTAATTCAGTAGAAATAAAGGAAAGAGAGATGATGGGTGAGGAATCCTCCAAACTCCGATAGCATATACACCCAGAATTTATAAAAAAAAAAAACATTCGAGACAAGTGATATCTGTTCCCTCCACCACAGCCATGAGAAAAGCTCAAGGCCAATAAAAGTGCTCTCTCTATCATGAAATCCACCGCCAACAATCACCATAGGTAGAGCAATGAGGGAACTCCATGCCCATAGCTTTCCTAAGGTTGTCCAAAAGGTCTAGAACTCTATTTGAAGGGCAAACTCATCGCCGCCACTTTTTTTGCAGGCCTACCTAGAGGGTAGTATATCTGTCACAAACATTTCTCCATCTCTATTTCCTCAACTTTTTTCCGGTACATCAAAACAAAGAAAATATCGAAGACAGATAATGCTTACACTTATTCATGGGCTCAGCTCAAATGGTGCGATACTCTACTGGTGATTGCCATCAGAGTAATCCTAATGTGGCCCCTCCAACAAAAATGAAGCCTGACCACATGATATCTCTTGATTAGATTACATTTTAATTGTGAACTGCCTTCCAGTTGAAATTTGTGACAGTTGTTTGAAAGTTTGACCAGCATTTTTCACATTGGGGACTTTTTAATAAGAACATAATAACAAAAGGGTATGTTGCAAGGATACATGAACATGGTTGTAGAGTAAACTTTCCATCCTCGCCAGCCTACAAACAAGAAATGGGAAAGGGAAATTAAAAGGATAAAATGAGACAGACTTGAAAACAAAAAAGAACTAACACTAAAATTTTTGAATAAACGCATTGGAACATAAAGTAGATGTGGCTTTACCAAGTCAAGTGCCTCGTATACATCTGCCTCTTCAATATTATCATCCTCAATTTCATCTTGTTCATCTTCTTCATCATCATTGGCTTCTTTGTCTTCATTATCCACAATCTCTGCACAAATTGGTTTGATGATACTCTAAATGATGACTACTTGAGTAAATTAAGTGAAAGAAACATACAATAGAATTTAGCGGCAACTAGCAAGCTATTTGGACTAATTTATTTGGAACCATTCAAACATTATAAATAATATTTACCTAATTATTCACACTAATGTCAGTTGATTGAGACTCAAATTGCCCAAAAAAAAAAAAAAAAAGCATAGCAAAATCTTATTGACAAATTTTGAAAGTTATAGTTCTGATAGTTAACTTGAACCTTTATTCACTTGCTGCCTTTTTACATCAGGTCTTGAATCCTTTGCAGGAATGCGCACTCTCTTTGACTTTTCAAAGCGAGCTGAAGCAGATTTTAGCAAGGACTCTGCACCAGGCTTTGGGTACACTGATAAGAACCTCACAGCAACATGTAATCGCAAACTATCAAGCACATGTGACGAGAACCAGCCTGTTGCACACTGTAAACTAATAAGAATTTAAACATCAGGTAAAATTGGAACTACATCATCTAGCACTTCTGACTACAGAATAGGATCAGTTTGCTTTGATTGTATAAATATGCATTCAGGAGTTTTGTTATACTGTGCCTGGACACTTCAAAAACTAACTAAAAGCAAAAAAAGATCACTGGCACATATCAAATCATAGAAAATCAACGATCAAACACAAAAGTACAGTCTAAAAGATCAATAGCCCACATTAACTCCTACAAGAAAACAAAGACAATCTCAAAGCGCGCAAGGGGCACTTTCTGGGTGCAGGTCCGAGGCGAGCTCCTCAAGTGCCTAAGACACTTCCCTCCAAACAATGCGAGGTGCAACAACCTCAGCTCGCCTTGCCCAGGTGGGCTCTCAAAAACTTTGGCAGAGAACGTATTCGCATAGTACCCGATGTCCCCAAGTACATCAAATTGGCTAACAATTATGGAGCCTCAATACACTAAAAGCTATAAGTTGAGGATTGGTATGCAAATTCTCATTTTCACATTTTCAGAAACCATGTTCTTTTTTTTTAAAAGGAGAAAAATGTTGAACATGGAGCAATATGATTCTTACACTGCAAGTAGCTTGGTTCGAAGGTTTTCTAATTTCTTGTTGGATGTAGTCATCCACAAGTTCAAATAGCTGTAATGAAATTTGGCACTTATAAGGAAAAACACGGAATGCACAAATATCCTCCCATCTATGCGTCAACCTACACAAAAGGAAAGCAAAGTTGGAGAAATCAATAGGGTTATGGTACAATAAGATATGTTCAGTAGGCAGAAATAAAATCAATAACCATCCCAGAACAATTGAAAGAGTTCCTGCCCAGCCAAAGCCCTAATGAAAGTGACACCTGCCCTCATTATAAATGCAGAGGGATAAGCTGTAGCCAAATTACACAACAGAATAAAGAAGAAGACAGAAGATGGAAAAACAAAGAGGATGTGATGAAAAGAAGAAAAAATTTGAGCAGACAGAGAACTTAACATTTACAGCTCTCATTTTTCCTTAATTGTGTACTTCGAGTATGTACATAGCATCTTTCTACGTCTTCAAATTTTCACAATCAACTTATTGATTTACTCCCAGCTCTTTGTCAAAAAGCTTCTTTTTAACTATCATCTGTATTCCAAACTCATCCATCCCAATTAAACTCCTTTGTTATTGTTATAGGTGCAGGTGCTTGCTTGAATAATAGCTTAGGGTAAGGTGAATGTTTGTGACTTGTTGCAAAAGAGAAGGTCTAACACTTATATTTCTCCACATCTGTGTGTAATATAAAAGCAATGTTGTGAATGTATTTATCATTTGTTCCTTCATTGTCTCAGCTATTTTCGTGTGGCATAAGATTTTGTGAGAGGCGGATTTGGCATGGGTCACACTTTTTATGTTGTTTCTCCTTTGGTAACGCGATTTGGTGGTTTTGGCAATGGCAAAAAAGCTTTAACTTCATGGAAATGCAGGGTCTTGGCAATTTTTTGGGTGGTTTGGATAGAGAGAAAATGTAGAATCTTTGAATGAAAGGAGGATAAAGAATTTTTATGGGGTAGAGTGAAGTTTTTGCAATTTTTATGGGTTGTTGTTACCAACGACTTTCATGACACTTCTCTCTTAGGTCTCGAACACAATTGGAAAGTCATTTGTACTCCATAATATTTGTTTTCTTCTCTTAATTTTTACTCTTTTTGGAGGACTTCTTATCCATTAATTATGTACATTTATATCTTCCAATGAAATGAAAGTGTTATTTCTTATTAAAAAAAACATATAAACAGCTCATGCAAAGTGCATGTGTTATAGTTTCATGTGTTTCCACTAATATTCTTAGAAAATACCTAGAACTTAAAAGCTATGAAGCCTGAATACTTCGTTTAGGTAGATGAACCGCTTCTTCTTCTTCCTCTTCCACAACAATTCAAACAAAACTGAGCTTAGATGGAACTGAACAAGACATATATGTATCAGATATGATACTTATCGAATACTCGATGATACATATCGTATATACACTACGTGTATCGAATAATAAACAAATATTTGGATAAATCACAACCGACAACTATCTGGTCGAACATTGGTGTTTGTGAAGTATTATCTACTATCAAATGCCAAAAGAGTATAAAATGAGCTAATCACACTATCTCTTGACAATGAGTACTTCTAGAAAAAAAAATGTTAAATGTTGGCTCTAATTCCTTTGCTTAATAACGTTCACTTTATGGATATACTATAATAAGACAATCCATAATTCTACAAAAGTGGACATAGCTTATTCTTTGTATTGTCATCAAAGAAACCACTAATAATTATAACTATGAAGTTGACAAATAATAGTAAAAATACAAAATATATTCTTTTATAGACGTATAGTGAACGTATTCTTATCCTATTTCCTTAGGTTTTTCCAATGGTTGTATCCGTATCGTATTGTATCCATAGGCCGTTATCTTGTATCTGTATCAGCCCACAGGCCAAATGGAATAGAACCAAGCATGTGTCTCATAATATTGCTGTTCAAGTGCACTATGAATCTATGACCAATATTCAAAATGTTTAAAGTAAAGATATTCAAGCTTTCTTAACCTTAAGACAAAAGCACATATCACATAAATTTACATGTTTGTCTAAATGGAAAAAGTAAACTTAATGAAAGATCATACCCAGATGCTATTTTAGTGTCGCAGTAGCTTCGTAACGATGGTGGTACTCGAAAGTCAATCCTCTGATATCTGTTACAGCAAATCTCAATAAGTAAACAACATCGAATTAGAGACTCCAAAGCATTTAGTAACACAGGTACCAGTCTAGCCTGTCTAGGTAAGAACATGTGATTATTTGTTTCTCCTCAATGAGCAATCTACTGTTAAATACATCAATCGGTTTCGTGTTCAACTACTTTACTCGCTTTCAACCCACCCATTGAAATTTGGAGCATTAAATCCAAAAAACTCACCCATTACTACTTTTTAATTTCGATTTCTTCTTTTACTAAAATTACATTCCATATACTCAGTTTTAGTCTTACTTATCCTCAATCCTTTAATTCTAGTGCTTCTCGCCATTTTTCTAGTTTATTATTAATTCCTTCTTTACTTTCAACTAGTACAATATCGTTTACAAATAACATACACTATAGGAGCTCATCATGAATGTGCCTAGTCAATTCATTTTTTTTAAGGACATGGAAAAAGGGGGAGTGGCGACCAATAGATTGTAACCCCTGTCACTAAATCTTCATACATATCCTTAATAACACTAATATACCAAACAATAACATTTTTCTTCTCTAAAACCCTCCATAATATCTCTCTAGGAACTCTATCATAACTATCTTCTTTTTTGGTCAAGACAAAACTATCTTCTTTTTTTTGTTTTTAAACTAAATATAAAAATAACTTTGCAAACAAGAATGATACAACATGATTTTTAGGCTGGTAGATTAGTTTCTCCTTTAAAGTCGACCCATATCATGGAAGTTATTGAAGCCTAAAAGCATTAATCTTGGTTTTTTTCTCTTCTTTTCACCCCTACCTTTGGAAACCTAGAAGTAGACTACACATTTCCTCATCAACACAAACTGAATACATGATCAAAACAAAAAGTCTAGAAATATTATATTCAGCAAATTTGATCGTAAAAAACACCTAATCTAGTTTTGTGATGGCCAAAAGCAACTAAAAAGAAAAACTGTGAGTATAAGTTGGAACAAGCAACAAGAAATGCTTAGATGGATTGAACATCAATAAGATTTCATCAATGTAGAAATTCTCACATGCAGGATTCACGGTCTTTGCGAGGATCAAATCCTTTTCTAATCCAGAACCTAAGGAATGGTCCGTTTGAAAAGTAATATGCCGTTCTAAAAAGAAGCCTACAAGATCAAACAAATGCACGGTTATGACATATTATATGAGATAACCAATTGCCAGATCAGTTCATGTAATCTCAATCAATTAGAATACGACGTAATATAAAGGGCAAATGCCCATGCAGACCACCTTCTGAGCATGTTGCTTCCAAAGTTCAGACCTTTTTCAAGCAAGAGTTCGGCTAATGATTCTTTGATCCATATTGGACGCTCATCAAACAACTTACATACCGCCATTTGCCAGTCCCACTGATTTGAGCCTTGGGGAATGTATTTCTCCCACTTGACTTTCTTAGGAATCTGTATGAATGTTAAGTGCAATGAAACCAAGAAAACTGCAGAAGGAATATGTCTACATCTTGTAATTACTTTGAATTTAAGCCATATATGAGATTATATACGATCATATTCAACATTAATTTATAGTCTAATTGCTGATGATAATAATGATGAAGGTTTGAAAACTAAATGCAGATGTCAAGTCACCAGCATAATACAGATCAAGTAGGCTACTGAAAATGCTAAAAGCAACAATAAAAACCTCAAGAAGCACTGTTATGCCTTAATAGTTAGCAACTATATATTATAATTAGCTCTTCTCCTATCAATTCTTTCCCTACACTATCGCTGGATGTATGAATTGCCATTTAGGTTTCCATCATTAGTTTCCCCTTGGTCCTTAGTATAGAGGAAAAATGGATACCAGTCTAAAATCTATTTTTGTAGTCGCCTACAATACCAATGGGATTTTCCACCATTTTGATACTCCAATCATTTTTCAGTGTGTTTCGATAAAAACAACCTACTTTTTAATAAAAACATGCGAATTTCAATTTTCAAAGCTCCGTTATGATTCACTTGGAAATTAAAAAATTACAACTATTTGAATAAAACAAACTGATATTTTTATCCCTATTATTTCCAAGCCAAAAAAGCATCAGGCATGGGGAACCCCAAGCAGGCAAATTCCACGAATGCCTTGAAAAGACATTTCTTTTTCCTATATACATTTGAATTGTTGAAAAACAAGATCACTATGTTTTGGAAAATAAAGCGTTGAGGGCAAACAAAATATGCACAATTTTGTTGAATTTTAGAAAAGGGCTTGCAAAAATTATCATGACTTCAGTGTTAAAAAGGGGCTGTGGAAAGTAGGGTTTGAAGGTTTGGGTGGCTACACCATTATGCCATTGGCGTACATGGTTGGAGCTGAACAATGACATGTGGAGGATCAGGAGGTGTCAATTTTTGAGTTTAAGAGGATCTTCCCTAGAGCAATTTTTTCACTGGTATTCTAGGATGGCTCTACTCTCTTGGAGGGTTTTTGTTAATCTTTTGGGGAATTTGGTGGCATTAACATATGTAGCATTTAGGGTTTTTAGTGACAACTCTTTGTATTGATTATAGGTTCTCTGAGCCATGTATTATTGATTATAGGTTTCCTTAGAATTTAGGGGTTTTAGTAACAACACTTGGTATCCATAATAGGCTTTCTTAGACATGCAGATCTCTAAAATAGGCCTTTTCCCGTGTATATGGTCCAGGACAAAGCCAGAACAAGGAATTTTAAGGCTGCCCTAGAACCAGATTTGGTGCCCAGGGACTAAAAATTTAGGATTTGTGATTGAGAAGACAAACTTAGGTCCGAGCACTTAAGGGAGGGGAGACCTGGGATTGTATGAGTCGAGGTTTAGGATTGGTTTTAACTTTTGTGTGAAACCTTGTAATAACTAGTAAGGTCTCAGAATTTCCTGTATAAACATATGATTTTTGAGTCTATAATGGCAGAGTTAATCAGGACTGGGGTTTGTTTGGGGTTTTGGATTCAACGGTTCAAGGTTGTGAATGAAATAAGAGGGTGGAGAAGGCAGGTATGATCATCAAGTCTGCAAGGAATCCAAACAAGAAGGAAAATATAGATGATGCATAGAAACCTTCAGAACTCTCTAAGGGCTTCTAGAACTCTCACTTAGAAGAATTTTAATGGACTCTAAATCTTACGGAAATGAAAAATATGCAAAGAATTTTTACCATCAACTGCATTAAATTGTATCCACGAGAACATGCTTATAAAGAGCATAAGAAATAACACGACTTGGAGAACCCTAATGGAAACTCCATTAATTCCATAAAAATAAAGGACAAAAAATAAGCAAAACTTATTGAACACGAAACCCAATAAATTGAAATTTCCAAAATACCCCTAATCTACAATTTACTAAAATAACTCTAGGTCAATATGAAGTTAAAACCGTTGGTCCATTGGTACAGACCAAGCCATATCCTCAATATCCTTGCTTGCTAGTTCCCGCCTTAGAACCTCTGGCATCCATCAACCACAATCTGTTTTAAATGTGTGTCCGTTGCCTTGTTTTCTTTTAACTTTATATTACTCTCTCTCTATCTCTACCATGACTCAATCACTCTCCCCCTCACAAGAAGCAAACCTGATGCCTATATGCATGCAAGAGTCGCAGCGACTTTCTCTAACCAGGCAATGTGGGGCATATATATGGAGCTGAACTATTGGCTGTAACAATCCATCCCTTTGAAGGGCCACGATCTCTGTCTAGGACCCACTCAAGCACATCAAGCTCATTCCCAATGGACCGACCCAAGAATGTCTCCATAGCTGACCAGTCCTAAGTCCTCCGAATGCAGGACCCACCGAAGCACTTCTCAACATGGGACTGTCCAAGCACATATCGTGAAGCCCTACAAGTATCCATTCCAACTGCATGTAATGTTGTCTGCTTTGAGTTGCCTCTCACGACTTTGAAATGTGTTGCATCAATTTAGACAGAGCTTTTATGTATATAGTCTAGCGGCCTTCTTTAACAAGGCAATATGGAAATGGATTGTCACCTCACCCACCTCCTCACCTCACCCTTTCCTAGGGTCTCTCTTGGACAGTTAGATGACTGGGCTTTTGGCCATCAAAACACACAACTCACTTGAAATTTTCTCTTTATCAGTTTATCTTCCTTTTCCAAATGCAGCAGGTTTGATCCCCATCTGTATACTTCCAGTTTCTTGGTTGCATCCCCTTGGCACTTTCTAGTGTTATTTCACTTATCTTCCAAAAACAACAACAGAAATAAAAACAGAAAAAAGGTGTGAGAAGGACCTTTAGGTTTGGCTGAATCATCTTAAGTCTCCTACTGGTTTGAAGGACATCATACTTGTCTATCATTGAATTCCCTTCAATGCATGCTGCTCATTGTGATTCTAAGCCACAAAGAAATTAAATAGTGGCCCAATCTAGAATGCACAAGTACAACAACTTAGTTCCTAGAAGTGGGAAAAAGAGGCAAAATAGCAGATGATATTTAGAAGGAAAACAATACAGGCAGAGAAAAGTAGCATATTTACATGGTCTATCAGATAAAGGAATGAGTTAGATACAAAGGTATCAGCTAAACAATAAGGATATCTTTGATGTTGAAGTCAATTGCAAGACTTGGCTCTATATCCAGCTGCATCATACGATAGAATAATTCAGTAAATTCTTAGAACCACATACAGTGCTGAGATCTCATCAGATTATAATGACATACTTAAGACGAATTGCAAACATGATCAAGGAATCAGATTTCATTTTGAAACGGTCGAAATGGCCTAAACACTTCCGTTTCCATGGACACTGAAATGAATCAATAATTGAATATTAAAATTTCAATGTTTCAAAGTGTTTTGGTATGTTTTGACATGTTTTAGTATGTTCTGACTTCCGATATGTTTCAGTATGTTTCGATCAATATTTCGGAATATTTCTCAAATAAATTTTCATTTTTTTTTCTTTTCTTCATCATGATTTCAAATGTTTTCTACAACAGAATGGATGTAATTTTGTATCATGAATACATTCATATGATACTCATGAGCACCTCATTTGTATTATGAGTTATTAATATCTTGGAAGTGTGTTTGTTTGACAAAAATGCAATGTTTGACATCAGTTGAAATGACTTTTGTCCTATATTAACCTTTTTTCCTTCTCCAACTTGATGTTTTCTAGTATAATGGATGTTAAGACGATAAACATGTCCAATTAATTAATCAATTATTAAGCTTATCTATATTAAAGAGATTTAATTTGTGTTTTTATCTTTTTCCACATGTTTACAAATTCTCAATTTCCACCGTCTCCAAAATGTTACTAAAACTTTTCATTTTCGAGTCGCCCAAAACACTTTTTACTCCTTGCCTTTATCTTTGTTGGCTTCTTGGAATAACCGGAAAGAAGCACAAATTTCTCATTTGCACAGGCATAGACAGCATGGTAAAAGGCAAATCTAAATATACTGAGCCACCATCAAAAAATATTGTTCAATCATTCTAGTGCACAAAAACGAAGAACCGAGACAACTGTCAAGTAATAGTCCAAAGTGGAGAAAGAGAAAACTAAAAACAAGGGCGAATTGAACTTTCCACCTTGAAAAATATAAGAATTTTTACTTTGCACCCTCAAAGATTAAATTTCCGACATTGCATTCTCAATGTATTAAAAGTGTTGTAATGTGGCTCTTCCATTAGTTTTCATTAATTATTCTGTACACGTCAATGGGCTGGTTTTTAATAGAATAAGTAACAAACGCTAACGAAAGAACCACATTACAACACTTTTAATACATTAGGGTTGCAATATAAAAATTTTAATCTTTACGAGTGCAAAGTGAGAATTCTTAAATCTTTTGGGGTGCAAAGTGAGATTTTCCCTAAAATCAGCATGCACTGCCAGGCGCATATATAACTATTATTTAAGGTACAACGCAGTGCAGTGACCAGAAATCAAACTATTAATAGCTCAAATTGATTGTTGTACATGCTTATGTAGCATGTCTGATTGCAACTTTTTGATAGAACTCAATCAAAAAGATTAAAATATAAAATAAACATGCACAGCTCCAGCACTCAGGTTGCATATTAATAAACATCAAAGGTCAACAGTTCCAGTACACAGGAAAAGAAAAAATCCTCTGTTGGCAACAATTGAAATACCTCCCAACGCTGTTGCACAACTCCCTCTTGTATCTTTTTCAAGTTAAGATCAACTGATGGTTTTAACCTGAAAGGTACAAAAATGAAAGAGACCAAATCCTTTATAAGACTCACAAACCAATAAAAAAGAAATAAGATTTGAACCCCCATGCCTCTCCATCTGAGGATGACAGGGAATACAATCAAAGTGATGCAAAATCTATAGAGTGATTGGCAAAATATCTTAGGCTTTTGTAGCCTAAAGTGCAAGTTCTGTGCCCCATGTCAAGCCAAATTTATTCCAAGTTAATACGATTTATTGGCGTTTTGTTTAGTTTTTGATGTCGAAGGTATTTTGGTCATGTCAATAATTGCAAAGCATAACTAATGGTAATAGTCCAGAGGTCATAAATGGGGTCAATTAATGTTGGAGTTTAAGTTGGTCTACAATATTCCTAGTTATCAATTATTTCTTAGTTTAAATTTCAAGTCGTAATCCTTATACAAAAAGGAGGCTCTTTAGCCTATAAAGATGTGTATTCTCAATCATTCAACAGAAGTGATTTTATTAGAATTTTGTTTTGTGTGTGTGTGAAGTTTCCTAACCCTTGTGAAGGTTCTTTTTATTGTTACCTACTTTGTTCTCCTCTTTCTTCTTCTTCCAAGAATGTGCACTTCTATTCTCCAATACACCAATGAAAAGACCTGAACAAACATTCTTTCCCCCATACAGATCCTATATTGCAAATCCCAATCAATCACACCTTGAAATCTTTAACCATCCAACATTAAAGCATAAACATTAAAACACTAAAACTCGAAAAACATACAATTCACGTCTTACTGTTTAGTTACCTAACCTTACCCAAACAAGCCTTAAACAAGACTAACCATTTCCACTTGCTTTGACTCTAATATCAATACCTAGAAAGGTTGCTTTGCAGACCACATAATATCCTATTCCTGCTGCACAACTTCTCTTCTGGTTACTTCAATTGTATGACAGTGTTTTCCCTCACTTGTCCTGCATCAGAAGGCTAATAATTGGTGGAATTCCAAGAGATGAGACACATATTTTCATATACCTCATGCATTAAGATTTAAGGAACTAGATATCATTCTGAGTTCTTTGGCATCATCCCAACCTTATTGTGACTTTGATTTGCAGCGTATACACATAAAACAACCTTGAGATATGGATTCCATCGTAGGTGACATGATTACAAAGGATTTAACGAAGCCACACGTGTTTGTCAATGCTATCCTTGAAAGTTTGCATCAATGTAACATCTGAGATGACTTGAACTAATTCAACTTGTTTATTAATCATGTTGTGTGTGAGCTGACAAGGGGCAGACACACATAATCCCTACGTCAAAAACCCTCTCTCCCAATCAAACCCACCACGCGTAGACCCTCCAATAAACTAAAAATCCAACCAATCCAGATACTAGCAAAACCAATTTAAAAATAAGCTAATCATACGAGAGCTCATATAATACAATATCAAGAGATGAAAAAAACACCAAAAAAGCTCCAATATTTTCTACATACAATACCAGTAATATGGGGTTTTTGAGCTAAAATCGGGTTATTTGTGTTTGACACTAACTCAATCTATTCGTTATTCATGTTAGAGCATTATGTTATTTTGGGTTTATTTTGAGAGAGAGTCTACCCTAACCCACTAAATTGGTGTCATGCTTGTTTTATGTCAAAATTATCACACATGGAGCACGTGAACATTGTTTATACTATATACTATATAATTGTAAGTTTTATATGTAGCAAAAAAATAAGGAGAATGGAGATTGTAGCCCCCCCAAGCAAATAGGAAGATTTTGTGATAGTAGCTGCCATAGGCAACAATATATGCAGCCCTAGCGCCACAGAATGACATGGGTAGTGAGTGCCCTATGTTAAGGTTTCGATGTGTTCTATTGCTTAGAGTGGTTTTGACAAAAAGGAGATGGGGGGAGGGGAAGTTGATAAAACTGCAGTATTATTAATCAGTAATACTAAAAAAAGGAAAGAAATTGAAATCTTGCTTCAAAATGAAAGGGCTAGAATTAGATGCTACTTTTATAAATCACTGTCAGCCCTATATTGTATTTTAGGATTGATGATGAAGGGTTTTAAAAGATCTTCAGAGGCAATTCATCAAAATTTTTAGACAATATTGAGGCAAACCCTTTTCTGGAAGCATTATCCACTAATGTACTGAAAAATACTTATCTAATTTAGTCTACCTTAACGAGGTTGCCACGCGGAAGAGATTGGGTATAGACATAACCTTTCACATTATTTTGTACAAAGTGCCTGCCTTCATTTTTCAACCCACAGCCTCATGGTTCGGGCCAAATTTTAAACACTAAACTAGTGGCCCCCTGAATTGTTATCGACTAATTTACTGTTTGGAAACTAAATTATCAATGTTTTAATTGCTAAAAACTTGCAAGACATATATTCTTAGTGATTAGTTTGGCAAGTGACGGTTGTAACCACATCACCCCCTCCATTACTGTTTTTGCATTGGAAGTATGACACGTGGAGTTAGGGTTGGCCATGGGCTGTGCCGAGCCAACCATGGGAATTGCAGCCCAATCACTGGTCCAAGAATGTACAAGCATCCATATTTTCATTTGAAGCAGTCAGCAGTACGAACAAATCTCCACAAGATTAAAAATACAGGTTTAAAAGCAAAACTAAACAGTACAACTGATTCATCTTCACTAGTTTGTTTTTACTACCTTCATGCCTTCATAAACAACATCCTTAATTTTGCCACTTGTTTGGTCATAGGTCCGTTTATTAGGATTGTATTTGTTCGCAATTAGAAATTTCAAAATGATATATTGCATTGCATTAAATGAATTGCGAGCCAAGGTTTCAGGACCAGGCTCTGTCGACCAGCCAGAAAAACTAGCCAAGCCCTAATTTTCTTAGGCAGCATGACAACTCCAAGTTGTGGTCCCTAAAATTACTTAATCTAAAAAGCATTATTCTTTTTACCTACAAAAATCGTTACTTATTTTAACTGCATTAAGAACTAACATTGTTCTGTTCTTGCTAGTGATGGCTGGACCTCGCTTCCATGAACACAAGTTTGTGTTTCTTTGTTTCATCAAGAGGAATGAAACTCAGACCATATTAGAAACTTGTATGTGGCATTCATTACTCTAGTTATAAGGCTTCACTTCAATTGTATGCTTAATTCTTACTTATTATCATGTGTTCTCAATAAAATACATGCTGGCAGCATCTAACTACACACACGGGAAAGCCAAAACAACATAAGGTGAAGCATCTTACACTACTTTCTCCGGCACATCCTTTGGCGAGAATAGTGGTGGCACTAAAATCATCAAATCCTCCTGCTCCACGTCCATGAGCCCACCCTTCTCTGTAAAGGATGAAAAACAACAAAATTAGCAGTTGGCACGAGCAATTTCCAACTTTTTTTCCAAATTCTAGAGACCATGAAAAATGAAGGTCTAACCAAAGTGTGGTTCCACTTCAGCCCAATTTCTCTTCTTTCTTCGGGCAAAATCAGCATGAACAGAAATAACATGTTGGTAATCTACCATTCCTTTATGAGCAAAACACATTTTCAGAGAATGAAAGAAAAAAGAGCCAACAAAAAGTCAACTCAGATTGTGAGAGAAAAGACAGATGGGAATGGTAAAAGTAGCAAACCCTCCAAAAAATACAAATAAGTCCTCTCTAACCATTAAAATGATAAGCTTCCGACACTCTAGCAATAATATCAGCAGAAAGATTTTCTTGCACTCCTTCAGGTATCTGCATTTTGACTTCTGAAGAAGCAGGAATTGAATCACTATCAGCTTGACGTACTTCTTGCATAGTTTCAGTTAAATCAGGGCAGCAGTCCTCTTGCTCTACATTAATCTGGTCCACTGACAAACCCTTTGAGAGCCTGTTGGAGTTCTCAGCATTTTCATCATCCCGAATTTTCTGAGTTGATATTTTCAACAAATAATGTTTGCAAGGCTGAAGCTCCCCAAAGGCAGGGTGTGAATATGGATCTTCAAGTCGGAAATGGAGCTCCAACTTGTTTGACTGCGAACTACGAGCCTAAAAATAATGCCAAGATATAGATTGACATGTCAACAGTGGAAAATACAGCTTTTCATAAAATTTAGTCAAGAATTCAACAAATAGGCTGAATCGTAAAGGATTCTCTACAACCTAAAAACCTTAAACCCATATGCATGTGAGCAGTCTTCTACAGTTACTTCTTTGTACAGCCATCTCAAATATCATAGATATGACAAGGAAATCAAATGAAATGGATAAGATTTGCAACTAAGTGCAAAAGTGGACAACAAATTTCACTTCCTTTTGATGAGTTTAGAGGAAACACCTATTCAATGTAAATGTTATACTAGCTCGCACTCATAGCTATGGTCCCAATGGTACAAGCATTAATGGTCGATAGAGGTAGGTAACCAGTAAAAGCTAACAAAGTTGAGAAATTATGTGTGTCCAAAAACCCTTTTGACAGGATATCTATCCTTGCATTGCTCTAATGCTTTGTTGTTATGGAATAAATTATTTAATATTGCATATTTGAGTTGGACAGCTCCTAGATCATCTTCCATGGTTTGTTGAGATATTTGGCAATTTTGGAAAAACAAAACAAAAAAAAAAAGAGGACCACCCCATAATTGTGGTTCCCTTGATATTATGCGGTTTATTGGGCTGGAAATGAATGCTAGAAATTTTTGTAATAGATGTGGGGTGGTGGAAGGATTATGGTAACGAAGTTACTTCTTAGCTTCTCTGGGGCTCCAATCACTAGGGAATTTCAAGGAACTTCTCCATTTTGCATCTTGGAGGGGTGGACTTTGTATGATCTCTAGTATGGATTCTTACGTTCTTTTGTCTTTTTATGTTTCGAGTTGGACCACTTGTCTGCCTCCCTTCTTCTAATATAATGTACCGAACACTTATCTATAAACTGTTGGTTACTTATCAAAAAAAATCCTTCGGACACTATCATCCAACTCAACACACACTCTTTTTGTGGATAGTTCACTCGTGAAGCAAGCACTATGAAATCCAAATACTGTAGGTATTTCTTTTTGACAATTGAAGCTGTAATTTCTTGGCAGAAAACATTACCCCACATTCAAAAAATTCATATATAATCATGTGTACAAACTAAAAGGAAAAATACTACAAAAACACATGAATAAAGTTGTATTAGCATACAGAGAGCCCTAATGCGATCTAAGCAAACGCCTAGGGCACACATATTGAAAAAGGCCCCTGAATAGTGTTTGGCATCCACCTATTCATCCTTAACTATCTCCTTATAATATTCCCCCAATTGTAAAAACTGTCAAGAAACATTCGGTAGTCTCCCAAGACTCTATTATTCTGTTAATTTTTTTTTCTCTTTTTCCCAGTTGTGGATAGCATTCTTACCCTCAGTCTCTCTAGTTTATTTTTTGTTAGGCAAATAATGTTTCATAATCATACTATAATAATTTATACTTATAGTGATAACTTGAGTCGTCTCTGGCATAAAACCACTAAAGGGATGATTTTAGGCTCTACATATAGAGAAGACATCATATTCATATACACTTTATATATAACTAGACTAGAAGTCTAAGCCACACAAAAGTCTAAGGGTACAAAGTAAACCTCATAAAAGTCGGAACCCAAGGACAAAAAATTATAAGCTTAGACAAAAAAATTCATTATGAAATAACATAAATCATACTTCACTATTTACTTCATATATTTTACCTAGAGGTGATACAAAGTCAACAAATAGTCATATTTTATCACAAAGTAAAACAAAATCAAAATGGTCGTCTTTGCATATTTTTTCTTCAAATAAATTAGTTTTTGCCGGTAAAAACACAGAATTGAGAAACCTCATCAACTGGAAGGCCTCATATAATGCTCTCTCTCTTTAGGCCATACCTTGACAATGCCTTCAACTCCACCGAGAGTCTCAATAGCGCGTACCATAGACGAAGGATAGGCAGGATAGTGAATTGCAAACACCTCATTGCTAGGTAGGAATCCCCAAATTGATCCGTCCTTTATGATTCCCATTGCTATTCTGTTAACTAAATAACAGAAAAAAGACGTTTATGCATCTGTCTGGGTGGGGTGGGATGGTGGGGCTGTGTGTCTGTGTGTGGGAACCATAGCCCCTCAACCTTAAGCCGATGAAACACACGCACACGCTGAGAGAGAGAAAGAAAGAGAGCCCAGAACCCAATTACCAAAAACCAGCCCAAACAACAACATTAACCTCTCAAAATCACCAATTTTTAGACATACCCAGAACCCAAAAAGAAGGAAAATACAAAATCAAAGTAAAGAAAACGGGAACAAAGAAAAAAGAAGTGCACATACCCATTACAATTCTTGACGTGATCTGGGTGGTTTTTGGGTATTCCAATTCAAAGTCGCTTTGGTTGATGGGGAGATGATTAGGGTTAGAATTTTGTTATGGGTACTATAGCGGCTTCGAGGAGAGAAAACCCACAGATGATAGTCGCCGGTGGTGCCATAAGCTTCACAGTGACCGGTGATGCCGTAAGTTATGAAGAGAGGAGGACAGAGAAAAAAAAAGAGACAACTTCACAGCGAGAAAGAGAAAGATTGATGGAGATTCTGCGAGAATGGCTTCTTCGGATTCTGGGTTCAAAGCTTCAAGGAGCAGAGTCCATCGTCTTTTTTGGTGTGTGTGAGAAACAAGGATGAGAGTGCTGTGAGTGAGACCAAGAAAAAAAAAAACAACAATAAAAAACCCACTATTTATACCTCCATAAAAAAAAAAGGGTGAAATTTTATTTTAACCCCTTGTGGTTTGACCCATTTGCACATCACCTCCCTCAAGTTCTAAAATAACACTTAACCCCTTGTGGTTGATGGACCTAAATGCACTGTTAATTTTTTTATCTATTTTAACGGCCATGTATCTCACGCGCATGCTAAGCGAATTGGTATAAAAAAACATTACAAATAGACAAAAAAAACCCTCAATAACTTTGTCTCCTCATCTCTCTTCTTTCTTCCCTCTTTTTTTTTTAGTTTTTCCTTTTCTGGTTGGGTCCCTTCTGCTGCAAACACCAGCATCTCTGCCAAAGGGCCAAATCCACTCCAAAACAAAAAAGATTTACCTTCGCCGCCTTTTCCGATGGTCAGTACAATGGGTTTTCAGCTAGTATCAATATGGAAGCGTTGATATGTGACCTGAGGAGATGCGGTTCCAAAGTGGTGGCAGAACTCATCACCGCCGCCAACACCGAAGGCCACCCATTTACCCATGTGGTGTACACCACCCATTTCCCATGGATTGGACACACTTCTTGGGGCTTAACCGAAAATTATTTTGGATATCCACTACTAGCAGCAACAAACACCATCAAGGTGGTGGGCTGCCATGGGTGGTAGCAGTAGCAAAAACCCAATTGTTATGGTTTTGATTCTGATTTTTATTTTCAATTTGATTCTAATTTCAATTTATTTTTTGATTCATGTTTTTTTTTTTGAAAAAAAAGAAGGGAATTGAGATGTTGAAATACAATTTTTGAGTTGTGTCAGGTATGAATTGAGAAGATACACCAGCCTATATGGTGTAGGCGGTGGGCTGTCGTGGGTGATGGAGTTATGAAAGACGAAATTCAGGAAGGGCTGATATGTCGGATTTAATGGTGACAACGATGATGGCTAGATTGCCGGGGTTATTTTGGGATAATTTTTTTTTAAAGTTAAAAGATAAATTGATGGGTATTAAGATCATTTTAATGTAAAGAGCAATTAAAAGTAAACAGAGTTAATGGTGCATTTTGATCTATCAACCACAAGGGGGTTAAGTTCCATTTTAGAACTTGGGGGAGGTTATGTACAAATGGGTCAAATCACAGGGGGGTAAAATGAAGTTTTTCCTAAAAAAAACTCTCCGTTGTTAACAAGATTCGAAGTATAGATCTCATTAAAAATTTTTGAAACAAATCGACGTGCTTCTATTTTGGTTTGTTTTTGAAACATCATTTTTTTTAACTTGTTTTTGGCGAAAAAACAAATTAAGAAATTAGGATTTACTTCAATCGAATGAAGCAATCAAACTAAAACAAAAGTTCTGAAATACCAAAAATCAAAAGGTAATTTTGATTACCTGAATCTCAAACAGAGAAAGTAATGGCCGAGCAACTCATCACACGCAAAGAGAGAGAGAGAGAGAGAATTGGGGGAGGTGTGATAAAACTAACGACTAAGCGGAGAAATATAAAAAGAGCATCCTTTTGCGCTTTGCACATCCGCAATACCATGTCGTTTTTAAGCCACTTAACAAGCACCCAGAGTTTAAGATAATTTTTCAAAAAGAATTTTCTTAGTTTTGGATACTACATTATTAGTCCTTCTAATTTGGACTTATTTATATAACAAATTATCTCTTTTGTCAAAAAAGTAAGTACAAAAATAATTATCAAACATATTTTTATTTATTTATTTGGCAAAAATTTAAAACAAAAATAACAAACAAACAACCCCAAGTTTTCGGAAAAGAGAATACACAGAAAATTTGATAAAATATTATAGTTAGAATAAACTTTGACATGGTCCATTAGACTTATATAATCTATTGAATACAGTGAAAAGACAAAGTCAACCCTATATATTATATACATGATAACACACTTTCGGATAAAAAAGTCAACGCAATTTATTTTTTAGTAGGTTCTCGCACTTGAAGATATGATGCAATCTGAATAATTTTGAGAAAGATGTTAGTAGTCGTTGGATGAATTTTTTTAAAATTGTTAAATAGACTTATTATTATTTTTGTAGGTATTTTTATTTGTATTGTGGATATTTTGACCACAGTCGTGGAACTATTTTATCACTTTTGTTGCTATATTTTATAAGTATTTTTATCATTATTATAATAAATATTTTTACTTTTATTTTCTTCAGCATCACAAACAATGAAAAAAATACCCACATAAATAATAAATATCAATATAATACAAAAATAGAAAATAAAAATTGGTACTGTAGACAACTGTCTTATTTTTTGTATTTTTGAATTGATTTTTCGTTTGAATGACAACAAAGTCACAGAAAATATTGTTGATCAAAATGTCATTATTTTGATCGGCAACACCTCGGAATGTTGACCTTGTGAATGTTGACAAATGTTCTATTAAATGTGGATCCCACCTCTTTTTCTTTGTTTGTTGAATGAAGTAAACAAAGGGTGGACCCCAAGTGGATTAGTTTTTTCGAAAGAAACTAACAGCCACTTGGAAGGCACAAACATAATTTAGCAAATGTAATTATGCTGTCCACCTTCTCTCTCCACTTTTTTCGCCTGAATTTCAGCAGATTTATTTCAATAAATGATATAACAAAACATAAATTTTAATTATAAAATTTAAAATATTTAATATTTTATCTTTAACTAAAATTTTTTTATTTAAGTATAACATTTTAAAATTGAAGAGTCTAAATATTACACGTATATAAATTTCAAGAAAGTCTGAATGTAATTTACTAACAGATATTGACGACATGAATTTAAGTATTATGCGTGTATAGACCTTAGAAGATTTGTGTATAATATTTCAAATATCAAAAAATCTAAATGATTAAGTGACAAACTTCAAAAAATCTGAATATAATTCTCCCTATTTATTTTGCTGTCAAACTCGATTAATAAATCTATCACTCTAAGCATTGTAGCCAAACAGTAATATAATATTAGTCCGGGTGGTTGTGTGCAGTGGACTAAACCTAATAACTCACGGGTTAAAACACAAGATAACAAGTGTGTATAAATTGATCTAAACACTCCTGACTGATAAATAAAATAAAATAAAAAAACAAAAGAACAACATAACACAATCAATAATCAGAGCACAATGCAAACTTAGCAGAGACCACCACCTTTCTTTGTTCGGTAGGATAATACTAATTTAACACCAAACCAGGAGATGTAAGTAGGTACCAATTGCCTAGGAACCCCTTAACACCCAACCTTTTCCTTCTTCAACCAGTTCCTAATTCTCTATTCAAGTAATCCACAAACATCCTCTTTGCACTCTCAGCATCCGAAGGAGGAGGTGGTCCACTTAAGCTAGATTGCCCGGTCAATTTGACAAATGTTCGTCTTAGCCTTCGAAGCTCTGGCAGCCCAACTGATCTTGTAATATTAATTGTTGGTAATCCTGGACTCACAGAAATTCCATTTACAGGCCCCCCAAATGCCTGGGACTGTGCTGCAACAATAACATTAATTACCTCTTGCGTCGCTCTATCCATCTCATAAAGAGAGTTTGCCTCAGAAAACCTTGCATTTTGTGTCGCTATTGTTGGCTGTAAAACTTTAACATCCATTGTTTTCGAGTCTACTTTTTTCGTCAAGTATGAAATAGCGTCTACTATGGCAACAGAGGATTTCTCTATACAATCTCTAGCTGGCCATAACTCAAACAATGGTGAATCCCATCGATTTCTTCTATCTGGTTTCTCAAACCTTCTCACCAAATCTTCAAATATCTTATCATCATAGGCAGGTTCTTCTTTCTCCCTGCGTTCTTCATTCCATTTTCTACACTCAGTCTCTTCAACTTCACAATAAAGGACACAATATCTAATTCCTGCAGCACGAGCTAAACACCATAACTCGTATCTGTAACCCTTGATACTGTTTAAAGAATCCACTACAATAATATTATCTTTCGACAAAGATCTATCAACTTCAGATCTAAGTACCCCCCTTAGATTCTTCTCAGCCACCATGTCAGCATAGCTTTCGTTGCGATCAAGATGAAAGGAAGTTTCGTTAATGACCCTGACTGCTGGTTTAGATTCTGCGTCTTTGAGAGCTTCAGCTAGACAGACCGCAGCCGTTGATTTCCCACTGCATGGTTGGCCACAGATGACTACTAATGCCATTCACAGAAACTGGATTGCTTTGTGAGTCACTGAGATGCTCCTCCTTTGTCTGTTCCAGATAGCAATGAAGTATATTAAGGAGGGCCTTATCTATCCAAGAAAGAAGCTTCCATACCGAAGAAAAATAGTAAGGTATAAAGTAAGAGATAAAAGTGGTACCTCATAACTCACACTAAAGCCATATTATGATGAAACAACGAACCTCAATACATGTTGACTGACAATTGGTTTAGACGTCTCTTAGACTATTCGAATTTATAAAGCAACACTATTGAGATATGGTAACAATTAACAAATAAATGAAGCAGACAAAACAATGGAAAAAGCAGTTAAAAGATGTATTAATATTGGGTATTTCGTGAAATTCAGGTAACTCAGAAGAGGAGAAAGCTATGGACAATGAATTTTATGTCACTTGTTCAGCTCATTTGGTAGGAGAACTATTGCATATTTTCAGACGTAATGCTCTCTTCAAAATTTGATGCTGGTCACAATTTTGAATCTTAGAGCTCCATTGTGAGGAATTTTGTGTTTTCAACTGGCGATTCTATAACATTTTTCAAACCCAAAAAACAAAATTTCGTCAACTGAAATCTATGTATAACGTACAAACTAGATGACTTATTAGCAAACTCACCTCCATTTTTTCATCTATGGAGTCAAATCTTCTCAGCAGGAATGAATAATTTATACATGAGACACAAGGAGTTCAGGAGATAAGGCTTAGATTAGGCAGTGTTCATAAGAATAATAAGGATAAAAAACCTTCAGAGGCGTTACCGTCAAAATATTGAATCGTTTCAATTTCATCGGCTCTTTAGTTTCATGAGGTACATCCCAACAAAATGTAGACAAGTGGGAAGCTGACACTAACATACCCTCAACACGAAATGGGACAATAGTAGGACCTCTAACTTCTATCACACATACAAGAAAGTGTCAAATAAAGCTGGAGAACACCATTCCGTAGAACACCAGTCCGTCCCCCCGAGAAATGCTTTGGCGCTGTGGGAAGTGACCACTGGACCATGGACCAATATCTACAAGAAAGAATTTGATACCCTCAATTGCGACTTCTGATATCATTCCTCGTTTCATCAAACAAGTGGTGGGCACAGCATAAAGCTGGAGATTTAGCTAAATAAATACAAAATCTAATTCAGTTAACGCAAACAAGCGAATTGCGAAGAAACGAATTAAGAAATTAGGTATTTACTTCAATCGAATGAACCAAATACAATTAATTTAGTGTAAGGAATTACAAATCAACACAGCACAAATAAAACAATCAAACCAAAACAAAAGCTCTGAAGTATGAACAATTAGAGGGGCTTTTGATTACCTTAAACTCGAACAGAGAGAGCAATGGCCAGACAACATATCACACATGCAGAGAGAGAGAGCGAGGGAATTGGGAGAGGTTCGATGAAACTAACGACTAAGCGGCGAAATAAAAAAAGAGCAGCCTTTTGCGCTCTGCACAACTGCAATACCACGTCGTTTTTAGGCCACTTGACAAGCACCCAGAGTTTCAGATAATTTTTCAAAAAGAACCCTCTTAGTTTTGGATACTACATTAATAGTCCTTCTAGTTTGGGCTTATTTATATAACAGACTATCCCTTTTGTCAAAAAAAGTAAGGACAAAGAATAAAAAAATAAAACTCAATCCGTCAATGAATTAGAACCATCACCATGGGTTCACCACCGTAGAACACCATTCTGTTCCCCTGAGAAATGCTTTGGGGGTGTGGGAAGTGACCACTGGACCATGGATCAATATGTACAAGAAAGAATTTGATACCCTCAAATTGCGACTTTTGTTATCCTTCCTCGTTTGATTAGACAAGTGGTGGGCACATCATAATGCTGGAGATTTAGCTAAATAAATATAGAATCTAATTCAGTTAAAGCAAACAAGCTAATTGCGAAGAAACAAATTAAGAAAGTAGGGATTTACTTCAATCGAATGAATCGAACACAATTAATTTAGTGTGAGGAATTACAAATCAACACAGCACAAATAAAACATTCAAACTAAAACAAAAGCTCTGGAGTATCAAAAATTAGAGGTTGCTTTTGATTACCTGAAACACGAACAGAGAGAGTAATGGCCGAACAACTTATCACACCCGCAAAGAGAGAGAGAGAATTGGGAGAGGTTTGATGAAACTAACGACTAAGCGGCGAAATATAAAAAGAGCAGCCTTTTGCAAGCTGCACAACCACAATACCACGTCGTTTATAGGTCACTTGACAAGCACCCAGAGTTTCAGAAAATTTTCAAAAAGAACCCTCTTAGTTTTAGATACTACATTATTAGTCCTTCTAATTTGGACTTATTTATATAACAGACTGTCCCTTTTATCAAAAAAGTAAGTACAAAAATAATTATCAAATATATTTTTATTTATTTGTTTGGCAAAAATTCAAGGGCGAAGGAGGTTGCTATTCTGTTTTTTGCGCCAACAACACCTCCAGAGGCTTCATCGCAAAAAGGTTCATCGTTTGAATGTTTCATAGTCTTGAAGGCTTCATCGTCTTCATCCCTCTTGAGATCTGGCTTCATCGCAAAAGGCACAAATCTCAAACCCTCTTGAGCTCTGAAAGTGTCCCTCTCCAGGTATTCTTGAGCTTCATCGCAAAAAGCACAAATCAATCCATTTTTTTTTCCTAAGATCAATCACCAATATGTGCCCGTTGCAATGCATTCTACCTGTTTGTTGGATTTCCTGTGAACAATTCAGTTATTGTGACATGTTGGTTTTTAAGATTTTGATTTCTTATGTTCGGATGAGTAAGGGATTTTTGATGGATTTTTATAATGGATTTTTGAATATTGGACTGTTGGGTTTAGCTCTTGTCTCAGATGGGTTTGTCTCATTTTTGGATTTGGTAAATTGGATACCTTAAGGATTTAGTCTGACTCTGAGGTTTTGGCACTTGAGTTCTTGCAGTTTAGATTTATAGTTCTTTGGAGTCTGATGGAATTTAACTGATTTGGGGAATTGAAGTTAGTTGTTTCTTCAATTTGTCAACTGGGTTTTGATTCACACGGGATTGTTTGAGCATGCCTAATTAGAGCATTTTCTACCGTTGAACTTGGAATATTTTTCCATCTGGGCTTATCTGCTTTCAAGTTGGTGAATTGGTGCCTGTGGGTTGCTTATCATATTGTTATGTACTGTTTGTCTAGTTATTATTGGTTGCGGTCTACAGAATATCAATGACTCCATTATGCTTTGGCTCTGAAAGAAGAAATTGGTGTATGATAGTTCATTAAGAATGGCAGCCATTGTGTTGATTATATTGTTGGTGGTGCAATTGCCAGTATGTAGAACATATTTCTGAGATCATATTATCTAAGATCATTTTTAGAGAAGGCAAATCCCTCCCAATATATTTCCATAAATTAAATGCATCCAACATTATTTATAAATTTCTGAACTCCTAATAAAATTTTGGAACTTACTCCTTGTCATCTTGATAAATGCAACATGATTAAATTTTGGAATTTTGGAACTCCTGATAAATGCATCAAGTATATTCTCTTCTTTGTTTTCTCCTTCGTTCAACTTCTCCTTTGTTCAACTTCGTCAACATGTGATGTCATCAATAAGGTGATGACATGACATACTACATAATATTTTAGATTTTAATAATTAATAATTAGTTAAAGTTAGTTGAAGTGGTTAGCTAAAATAGATAACGTGGTTGGAGTGAATTTAAAAAAGTGGTTAGCTAAAGTAGATAATGTAATAAAAAAATATATTTTTGCTAGCTAGTTTACATAGTCTCCTTGGAGTTATATGCATGATAACACACTATTGGATAAAAAAGTCAACACACTCTTCACGTTTTAGTAGGTTACTGGAGGAAACTCGCACCTGAAGATCCGGTGCAATCTGAATAATTTTGAGAAAGATGTTGGTAGTCGTTGGATGAGTTTTTTTAATACTGTCAGATGAACTTATTAAAATCTACTCTGTTTTATACTATAAATATTTAATTAGTCAGTTGTCTTATGCACGTTCATGTTTCGTAAGTATGTTTCGATAGACATAAAACAAAAATGTAATAAAAATGTTGTATGTTTGTAAAAACATGTGGAATACTTTGGAAAAAATTATTTTTATTTTAATCAAGTTTTTATTTTTATTTTTGTTGTTGTGTGTTGCAATTTGAATTTTCATGTGAGTTTGAAACAAGATTATTCATAATTATAATTACTTAGAGCGTATTTGAATTTCATCTCAAAAAACCATTTTTGAGAAAGAGTGTTGGAGTTTGACCTAAACTCTTCTACATTCTTATTCATTATTTGTTTTATTATTAAAGTTTTAAATAGTTTTAGATATCCTTAGTTTATAAGGAGTAGGATTATTCTATTAGTAAAATTAGGATTAGATTGTTTTTAATTTTAAGAGACATCTTGAAGTCTTTTTCTTTGGTTATACCCAAAAGATTACTTATTGAATAGAAAAAATTTTGTTGCCGCAAGTTCTTGAGTTCAAGAACATTAACGCCCACGATGTTTCATCTTTTATGATTTCTTTATGTGTGTGACATTATTTTGAGTGTTTGATATTTTGAAATCTTACATTTTTGTATCAAAGCCAATTTTAGAGATAGCAAATAGGAACGAGTTTGTTCAATGTTCGATTGCAAAATTTGACAGGAACTCAAATTTTCAACATTAAAAAATACAGATGAAATTGTTTTTCAAGGTCATAAATTTTTTTGATATTGTAACAAATGGGTTTACAGATTTCGGAGATCTACCAACTCATACAAAAACCCAAAAGGATGAATTGATAATTAATAGGAAGCAAAACAGTAGTATTCATGTATATCTATAAAGCATTTGATTCATTAATTTATGATAAGATTGCTCATGTTTTGACAGCAAAGGCAGCATGAAATGTGTCAATCAATTGTTATAGACAAGGTGAAAAAAGTTTGGTTGTAGAATCCACGCAGGCAATATGAGCTTATGAAAAAATCATAGTGCATTTGATTATTTCTCGCGGATGTTGATTATTGTCAAATTAGATGAGAATCAATGGCGAGGATGTGCAGGATCTCCAGGCCGTTACGGAGAAAATTCTTTGAACCTTATCAATGAAGTTCGAGTATATTGTCATATCTAACATAAAGTCAAAAGATCTTGATTCTCTAACAATTGATGAGTTGATGACTCTCTACAAGCCTATGAACAAAGATTAAATAAAAAAACTGAGATTTCTAGAGAAGAAACCTTGAAAACTCATACAAGTTTCCAGAAAGAGAAAGATGAGTCCCACAATAAAATTTCAATCAAATCAGAAGTATCAATATTCAAATAATCAAGGTACGTGGCAAAACAGATTTAGTGAAGAAAAATACAAAGGTAATAATTATGGTGATAAATCCAAGATAAAGTGCCACTATTGTGAAAAATTAGGACACTATAAAAAAGATTGCTACAAATTAAGGAGACTCAATATAAGAATTATCATACTAAAATTGCAAAAGACAATGATGATAATTCAGAGGCTTTGTTTTTGACTGATAGTACAGTGGATGATGTGCAAAATTCAACAAGTGGTATCAGATTTATGTTCTAACAAAGAGTTTTAGAAAATGTGTTTTGATATTTTCTAAGACGAAGAACTTCTATGGTTAGATGATTCCAAAAATAATTTTACAGAAAATATTAATACCTGTTTGGACAGTAATGCTGAAAACAATGAAAACAGAAATGTTATTTGGATTGATTGCTTGATATACAATGTTTTCAAACGCTTAACTTGATAAAAACAAACATAAATCACACTATAGTAAAAAAAATTCATTTGTACCCATACATGAATATATTACCTGATTAGAAGAGACGTCCAATAGATCGAGGTCGTTTTCATCAATAGAGGACCGATTAAGGGTAGTTGAGGGGTCTTGTTCCACGGCCAGAACTTCTTCTCGACAAGCTTTGGGCAAACAATGAGAAGCCAGATCTGGCAAGTGTAAACATACATAATGAAAATAGATCATGTCCCAAAAAATCGAAAATAAATTCAAGGCAAAAAGAAAAAAAAAATCAGATATAAGAGCTCTATGGCTTACCTATGTCATCAGAGCTACGACTTCGGTTCACTGGAGTTGTTAAACAATAGATCTGTTATATAACAAATTTGAAGATAAAATAGAAAAATGAAAACAAATCTAAAGAAAAACAAACCCAGAAAAATCAAGGCAAAAAGGAGAAAAAAAAACCCAGATCTATGGATTACCTGAGCCGTTAGAGCCATGCCTGTGATTCACCGAAGCTACGCCTGTGATTCGCTAGAGGACCTTGCAGGTTCAGTCATCTAAGGTGTTGGTGAGAGAGAGAGAGAGAGTGGTAGGTCTAAATGTCAGGGAGAGGGGAAAAAAAGGGCCCTTTTTATACTGGTGCAATAAGTGCACAGTTTAGTGTTCCCGTGTTTTCACAAATCTCATATGGGCTTCTCACAAAATTAGACAAAAACAACTAATTCTTGTTATCATTTATCACTTTTTTTGAAATTTTGTTTTTGAAAAATTCTAGTCAACATCTCAAAAGATTTTAGTGGTTTGAGAACAAAAACTTGTTTTTGGAACACAATCTAAACATGCCCTTAATTTGTTATTGAATCTTCATTTACAAAAGGCTTGGAACATTCTTCATTCACAAAAAAGCCAAGAAGAAAATCAAAGTGATTAAACCATAAATCATACATACAGTCTAAAAAATAATAATCGCGTACTTCGGAGCAGTTTATTCAATCTAAAATATATATATATATATTTTTGGGAGGGGGAGGGGGGGACTTGAACCCTTGACCTCAAGAAGACAAAGTCTTGATAATGTAAGGAATGTCATTGAACCAAAGGCCCGTTGGATTCAATCTAAAACATATTGTCTTGCTAATTTGCACCGACTTCGCCTGGCAACATTATGACTCATGGAGCAACGATTGCCATGATCCTCATCTTGAGTGAAATGATCAAAATATTATTTTTCAGTGAAATAAATGTCTGTCGGACTTTTTCGAATATGATGTGACTGCAAAGAACTAAAAACATTAGTACTTCGTGGTACGGTAGTAAAATCTGCATCTTTATTGCCGACAATTTTACCATTGATATCCTCCTAGCCACCAATGTCACTCCAACCAAAAAACACTGTTCATGATCTCCTGCTTCATCAACACCATCTCCGTTGGTAACTTCATGAATGCGAGTATGATGCACTCTTGGTCCCTTAATTAATGTCTCAAAAATCATCCTCATCAACATCATCCACGAGAATGTTCACGCCACTAGCTCCTTAATCTATTAAACACTTAATGAAAAACATAGATAAGGGTAAATTTGGAAGAAAAAATATTAATTATGCTTTGATTTCATTAAACGACAGATATTATGGAACAAAAAAATTATGTAAAACGACAAATATTTAGGAACGGAGGGAGTACTAGTCAAATAACATCTCAAAAGATTTTAGTGGTTCGCGAACAAAAACTTGTTTTTGGAACACAATCTAAACATGCCCTTAATTTGTTATTGAATCTTCATTCACAAAAGGCTTGGAACATTCTTCATTCACAAAAAAGCCAAGAAGAAAATCAAAGTGGTTAAACTATAAATCATACATACAGTTTAAAAAATAATAATCGCGTACTGCGGGACAATTTTTTCAATCAAAAATATATATATATATTTTTGGGAGGGGGGAGGGGAGAGAGGGGGACTTGAACCAAAGCCTTGATAAGGTAAGGAGTGTCATTGAACCAAAGACCCGTTGAATTCAATCTAAAATATATAGTCTTGCTAATTTGCACCAACTTCGCCTGTCAATATTATGACTCATTAAGCAACGACTGCCATGATCCTTATCTTGAGTGAAATGATCAAAATATTATTTTTTAGTGAAATAAATGTCTGTCGGACTTTTTCGAATATGATGTGACTGCAAAGAACTAAAAACATTAGTACTTCATGGTGCGGTAGTAAAATCTGCATCTTTATTGCTGGCATTTTTACCACTGAGATCCTCCTAGCCACCAATGTCACTCCAACCAAAAACACTGTTCATGATCTCCTTCTTCCTTACTCGCTCCTTTGGTCCCTTAATTAATGTCTCAAAAATCTTTATCATCAACATCATCCACGAGAATGTTCACGCCACTAGATCCTTCCTTACTTGCTCTTGACTCATTCGAGCTTGGTTCACTTGTGTGAGCTCCACTTAACCTTTCTGTCCATATCGCCAAAAAGGAATTTGACCTAGTAAATCATCATCTTCAAATGAAATTAGTCCCTTCAAGATTGACATCTAGCATATATCAATTAGTCTAGCAATTTCACATGCAGAAATGCGATTGAATTCATTTCGATCTAAAGGCATTATACAATGTATTCATTGCTAGCATTTGTAGTGTTCAATTTCTTTTCATCATTTATCCATTCTTTCTTTGGTTTAGTGGATGCTACACATCATTCTTCAATTATGTTCCACAATGAATCATGTAAAGACATAATGTATATTAGTCATTTCTATTGAAAAATGGAGGTCTAGTAATAAATTGTCCTTCCATTATATTTCCTCCTAAGGTTGTCATGATCTTTTAACTCTAATATCATTACACATTATATACAATATTAGTTGTTGGCCCAAATACAACCTAAGAGGGCGGGTGAATTAGGTTTCTAATTTTTAAGTTTCCTATAATGATGAGTGAAGCTTTCACGTAATATGCAATTATAATGCTAATCGTTTATAGTATCAAAACAAAGAGAATAGAGATTTAAACGCAATTTATAAAGGTTCAACCCAACCAGCTTGACCTATGTCCTCTCTTCAACCTCCTCCTGGAAGATCTTTTCACCAACTTGATTATCTTAATGGGTGAGAGTTAAACCCTTATAATTTTCACCTTCATACAAATAAAAGTCTTCTACTTTAACTCATTTCAAGAAGAATTAATAAATAATACAAACTCTTTCTCAAAAGTTTCTCCCAATACAAGAATCTCACAAATCGCAAGAGAAAAAGAGAAAGAGAATAGAAAGTTCTATGGAATCACTTTTGTAAGTTCCAGTCAAATGAAGCACTATTTTTTTTTTTTTTGCTCAAATATCAAGTACCAAATAGTTGTGTTTCAAAGTCCCTTTAGCTACTATTCATACCTTCCCTTCATAAATGGTTTGAAGGATTAAATTTGAAAACCCGGGTACATCAAAATTTTGCTTAAACAAAAATAAAGTCAATAATAATTTCTTACTACAAAATGGCGAATAGATCGTCAATTTTATTTTCCACTTTGTCAAATACAAATTTTCTTTTAACTCGCTAGTCTTCGCATTAAGTCTCGTGATTGCTTTTTACACATAGATTAACCATATACATATTTAAATGAATCAAACCGTTTTTGATAGTAGGAATACTCCATTTCCTATACTGAATTCATAATTTAAACTTTTTTCTAAAAATTTATAAATAACTTAATAAATATAATAATAAAAATGAATAAAAACATCTTTTTTGTACAATAATTGATAAAAAAAAATTATATTTTATTCATATAATACTAATTAAACGTATTAATCGTGTCAATTTCTCGTTATTCGTATTTAATACAAACTGAACCCATTTTTTATTCGTATCTATAAGTTGTGTCATTTATAAAGTCATGTCAAAAAATGATTAATCGTGTCAAAAAAATGATCAATCTTAACTTATTAATTTATGTCAATTTTAAATAATCTTTTCATATTAGCATTAAAAATTATCACCCCTAACCTTTCGCATATGCACCTTGTCTTGGGTTGGGTTGGATTGGAGGTTTGGAAATTATTTCGTTCTTACAGTTGGTCAAATTCAGCATAAATAAGTTATAACATTAAAAAATTGAGCAGTCAACAGTCGATCATACCTCTGGCGTAAACTTAGAGACCATAATCAATGAACAGTTAGCACTGGCATCACAAGCCACATTGCTTACCACGTGGCTTATCTCAATCAAGATTCGCACCATTTCTACTCTATTAATTTTTCTTGTTCAACAGTCAAGATCAAAAACGCCTCGATCAATTTACACACACTAAAACTATTTTTTCCTTAATTTGATAAAAAAAAAATAGGTTATCTATGCCTAAATTAAAGTATTCATAAGAAATAAATCTCTCATAAATTAACCCCAAATAATTGTAAAAATTCAAATTCAAGACATTTAATTTTATAACTCGTCTATATTATCACTTAAATTAACTTTAGAATTACTTCTAGTCCATTATCAAACAGTCCTGACTCTACCTACTTTTTACCGCATTTCGAAGAGAATCAACAAGATAGCTGCAGCAGGTACATGATAGCCTTAACCTCAAAAAATGGTAATATCTACAAACGAGAGAACTAGCAGTAGGACCAACATATTTAATTGAAGACATTTAATTCGACTTTTAGTTTTTTTTTTTCCAACTTTTCGAAAATAAAGTGTTATCAACAATATGTGGTACCATGATTTTCAAACACTAGCATCAAAATACCACCATTTCTAACAATAAGAACATATATTGCTGACAGAGAGAGAAGAGTTTGATTGTCTTGACTAGAAAAGGAATTCCGTGTCCGAAACTTCAAGGACTTTGTGGTCACCAATGGGGTTAACACCAGGCCGGAATGAATTTCCTTCGATATACCTGTTGACAGAATTCAATAAGTTTTTTGACATGGTAATGCAAAGGGCGATTTGCCACGGATGGAGTTGAAGAAAAAAAACTCACATTTCTTTCAAGAAAGGGTGCTTATAGAAGGCATCAGGAATCCTCCCAGTAAATTGATTGTGATCCAGGTACCTGAAACTCGGCCGTGTGAGAAGATGTTTCCCACTAAAAAATTGATGCCGAGGTATGCGCAGCAAGCATAACTTAAAAGTCCAACAATCCATGGAAGTTTTATTCTTAAAGTCCTCTTATCTATTTCCAACTAAAAAAGAAGCCAACAATTGGAATCCCATGCTGCAGAAGATTAGTAATCCCAGAAAAACACATGCTTTACAGTCTGAGATCAAAACAACAGTCATGTTGTAAAATAATGGCAATGCTGATATTATGAGAAATAAAATATTAAATCCACGTGCTAAGGTCAGCGTTTCAAGAAAACAACCAAGATATTGATGGCAATTAAGATGCAGGACAAGTTAAGTTCCATAGACCAAAAAATATGAGCACACTCATATCAATAAGAATCACGATTAGTTGTTTTCTCATATTAATAAAAGCTGAACTTCCTTAACTCTGGTACCATTAAACAGCATTTTAAACTAGCTTTTCAGCAATCCCGACTTGTAAATGCCGAAGAGAGTTTAAGTGAAATATAACAAGGCACTGCTATGAGGAAAATTGCTCATTCTGACAAGAAAAAAAAGAGCATTATATGTCTTGGGTTTCTAGCGGGAAGAGGTGAAGTTTTGGACTCAGATTTGTAGCTTTTATAAAACAAGTTTTTAAAACTAAAAATCAGGTTTAATTCATTCATGCAGTTGTTGTATTTCATCCTTTTTGCTACCCGGGCAGCCCATTGAATACGATATATGACTAAGTGCATCATACAATAAAGTCAACTAACTTATAGATCTAGGAGTCTTTAGTTCTGCTAAATGATGTGTATCAGTTTACCACTAATAGAAAGATTTTTCACTCCCACCCGATACACATATTCCATAAAAACAAACATATTCAGTGGTACATAAACTAAACATAAGACTATGAACACAATTACAAATAGGTCAATCTGAGAATCCAACAAAGCCAAAAGAAATTCTGAGGTACATAATTCGTACATCCATAAAAGTAAACTTGAAGAAGTTGAAAACACACTTACAAGTTAGTTAATCTAGGGATATGAGCAAGCCCGTATGGTACTATTCCAGACATTTTGTTGTAGGAGAGATACCTGTCATCAACACAGCAATCAACTTGGTAAATTTTATGACAGCAGCAACCAACAGATCAAGCCAGAAGAGAACACCCTAACAATTTATGTATTAGGTACTTGAATGTGCAATACTTACAAGATTTCCAAATTTTTCAAGTTTGCCAGCTGTGCTGGAATTCCTCCAGTAAGATAATTATTGTTTAGATAACTGCACATTTTAGTTACAAGGAAAAAGAATACCTTAACAAACCACTTAATCATAACATTAGCAGCAAAATGTCATTGTAAGTCATCTAAAATCTTGCCAATTTATATTGACTTACAGGTTGCGAAGAGCTGGAAAGCATCCCTCAATACGTATCAGTTCCCTTATGGTTCCAACCAAATGGTTGTTGCCAACATCCCTACAAAATACATGGTATCACAATGAGATAATCTGGGACAAGAAACAAGCAGCATATTGTACAATGAATTGACTAAAGATGATAGATTGTTACAAGTGCCGAAGGTTTTGTAAAGTTCCCAATTCCGGTGGGATTCGTCCAATGAAACGGTTTTCATGTAGAAGGAGATAACGGAGCTCAGGAAGATTAGCAAGCTCCTTGGGGATCTCGCCTTTGAAATTGTTGAAACTCAGATAGCTGCAGAACTTTAAATTATTAGTCTATAGATGTACATAGTATGTACAATATGCTAAGAATTCCTAAGAGAATTAACTAAATTCAAAGATTGGACATTACTCACAGGTGTGTCAGTTGCTTTAGTTCACCTATTTCAGGAGGAATGGCATCTTGCAGCTTATTCCACCTCAAATTCCTGAGAAGAAAAGAGCAAAAATCAGCAACAGGACTAAATTTAAAAAGTAAAAGATGGGACAACATAGATTGAGATGATTCCTGGTTGAACCTCAACAATAATAGGCCGCCAATAAGGGAGGTGTTATTGAAAAGAAAAATAGAGATCACCAACATTATTTAACTAGGAAGTAAAGGAAGATACAGTGTTTTAAGACGCTTCAAACGCCCAATTTGAGGAGGAATTGGCCCGGTCAACTTGTTGTTATGGAGATCCCTGCCATGCAAAAGTCATAATATATATTTCAAAAATTGGAGAAATAATTTTTTTCTAAAACTTAACAGTATTAATCCAACTCTGACCTACTATTTACAGTGATGTGGAATGTTGCTCATTAGAACAAAAAGAAAACACATGGTGCAGTCAATTTTGCTACCGATTTAAGCATTGATTAGTGAAAATCTTTATGCAGTAAATTGTCACTTTGGGAAGCAACAAAGATAACGACTGCTTTGACTCAAAGAGCAATACAGAAAACACAAAGAAAAAGGCACAGAGTCTTACAGCCTTGTAAGATCCAACAAATTAGTAACAGCAGTAGGAAAAGGCCCGACAATTGACACAGCATAAACTTCCCTGCAAATAAACAAATAAAGTAAATGCAAAATAATACAAATCTCATATCACCTCAATGACTTCATAATTAGACGTCCTAACAACAAAGGGAATTGAACAGTGACGCAGCATTGCTCCTTGAACACATGAAATTAAAGTGTACAGTCACAAAGAATGTGAGTAGCGGAAAGGTAACACATACAGCTCTGTAACTACTCTATAATCACCCTGAGTGGAGCAAGTGACACCAGACCAAGGCGGTAAATCACCATCTCCACAAGGGTCATCTCCAACCCACGCATACACCACCCTCCATCCCAGGGACGCCTTTATTTCATTCAAAGCTTTCACTGCAAAAAGCAAATTAGAACATCAACATCATCTTAAGACTCCAGTAAAATGCATTATGTATGAAGGGTTATCACACACACACACACACGCACATATATATATATATATCCATGTAACGAAATTATACTTAAAGAAACCATTTGTGATGAACAATGATCACTGTGATTAAAGAACATGTTAAAACCTTGAACAGTCTAGCTAATTGTTTTCAGTTACTTCCCTTTTTTTACCTGTCTTTATTGCAGATCACTAATGCAGTTCATACATAGCATAATTATCGATCAAATATCCATGTTTGACCTTCAATCTAACCAATCAATAAGCTATATTGCATTAAAACACATTAATCATGGCTTAATTATAATTATTAACTCATCCTCAAATTCCACCGACACTTCAAAATAAATGCCGAATCTTCGGGAAGTCAATTGTTTGGATAAAATTAACTAAAATTGTCCCGAAGAATTGTGAAAATTAAGAACAAACGTGCTTAATTAAGTAAGAAATTAGCTAACGAAAAAAATCTGTGTGATTATGAAATTAGATATGAATGGATCGAAGTGGAAGGAAAGAATTTGTACCGTCTCGTTTGAGGGTTTTACAGAGAACAGCGACGTTGAGAAGCGAGAGGAATATGAGGATCAGAGGAAATCCTGAAGATACTACACGACGACACGCCATTGAGTACACTACTGATCAGAGCTTGTGTGGTTTTGGGTTGAAGAAATGGTTTCTTTCAAGCTTGGACAATATAGGGCCTCTTCATATAGTCGTCATGGAGAGAGATCCAGATCACAGAGAGAGAGAGAGAGAGAGAGAGAGAGAGAGATCTCAGTGAGAAACAGAGAGATGAACCTCAAGCTTTCAGCGGTGGGACGACGCGTTAGATAGACCGCGGGGTCTGGGCTAAAGATCCTCTCTCCGGTACTCAAAACTTTTCGGATCCGGATCCTCCCATTTGTTGTTTACATTTTTGGTTAAACTAGGGTTAATTGGACATTCCAGAATGTGAAGTTTATTTTCTTGTCATCTTTAATATTTTAATTATATTATTTTAATCCTTAAAATATTAAATATATTTTTATGTGGCCCCTTATGCAAACAATGTCTAAATTGCTAACATTTTTTTATTATAAACTTATTATGTAATTCATAAATATAGGCAAAGAAAATAATTTGGATAACTTTTGATCAAATTTTTATCCAAATTTTAGTTAAAGAACTACTCAAATTACATAATTTTAATCAAGAACTATTTAAATTTTAATCGAGAACTACCTATATTACACATTTTTAGTCAAAAGTTATCAAAATTTTGATTAAAAACTACCCAAATTATTTTTTATTAATTTTTTTTTTCTAACCGGTGAAAATGGTGAAAGGACTTTGCTGATACAAAATTGATAGGTTAAAGGCTAAATTGAGATAATTAAAAGTTTAGGAACTATTTTAAAACAAAATGCAAAATTTAAGGATTAATTGTTATATTTACTCTTAATTTTTCGTTTATAGTAAAATCAAGGACAATGCTAGCCATGTGAGTTCATTTTTTTTTTGGGATAATTATACCCAGATGTGTCATTTAATCAGATAGATCCCCTCATATTTGACAAATTACACTGGAACCCATTAAAGTGTGTGTGTATTCTTGTCGAGATCCGTTAAACATTCCATTAAAATTTGATGAGATCAGTATCCTTTTATATAAAATCCCCAAATTATCTTATCACAATTTTAACAAAAATTCAATAAAAATTAATAATTTTTAATTTTCAATTAAAACCTCAATACCCAATGCCCAATACCCATTTCCACCAACGCCATCACCATCTCCATCACAGGTATGGTTTTCCTCCCTTCTCTTTGAAACACCCAAACCCAGATCCAAAATCCCCTGAAATCTGAGAATTCATCAAACCTAACTCTCTGTCAAATACTTCTTTTCACCACTGTTTACCCAACCACCACTCTCCTCCTCTCATCACCACCGTTTCTTAGCCACCACCACCCTCCTCTCATTGTCCTTTACCCAACAACATAATCTCTCTCTCTATTTCCTTGCACACACAAACATTAAAATAACTTTGCAACTCCCTAAACATCAAATTTGGTCTGGAATTTGACCACCTTCCAACACCGAAGCCCTAACCCCAAAATCCACACCAGACTCTATAAACCCACAATACCCCCAACACTGCAAACCCATATTTTCGCCTTCAATTCAGATGTCGTTGATGGTTTCAATGTCCCAACACACAGTGCATTTGCATTAGGACATACATTAGCAATGGAATTGCTTTAAAAAGGGGGTTGCAGTGAGCTGGAGGGAGGGATGTGAGGAAGATAGTGGGGTTGCAGCATGTGGATAGGGATGGACGATAGATTTCAATGAGAAATGTGTGGTGGGCGTAGTAATTTTGCAACGGGTGGGGGCGAAGGGTGATAGTAGCGGTTTTGCAGGGTTTTGGGTGATTGATTGGTTGGGTAGCAATCACTGGTGGTGGGATGGTTGTGGTTGGTTGATTGGTTGCAATTAGTGATGTTGATTAGGTTTGGATAAAAGTATTGCAGAGAGAAAAAAAGAGAGGAAAATATTTTATTGGGTGGATCAAGTCTGTTGGTTTGGATTTTAGGGTATGCGTTAGGTTTATATATATATATATATATATATATATATATATTTTTTTTTATCAAAGGGTAGAATAGATATTTTGTAACTTCTATTAGGGTTGTTAACTAGCTACTAGTAACAAAGGGTCTCATTGTAATTTTTCAAACGTGAGGGGGTCTATCTGTTCAAGTAACAAACCTTATGGAATCCGAACATAATTTACCTTTTTTTTTTTTTTGGTTAAATATAAATTGAGATTAGGTGATAAAAGATATAATCAACCACTAAGGCTCAAGGCACGTTCCAAGGTTTTACAAAGTAATTCTTAACATATCAACTCATAAAAATTGTGTACGAAGAATAAGCAAAAGAATTTTAACGACAAATCCCCTTTTTGATTTGATCAAATAAAGGTTATTCACATCGGGACGAGGGTATTCATGAGGGATAAATCACTCATGACCTAACTCTAAAAAATTATCAAGGTTCTAACTCAAAACGTCTTATATTAGTACTATTCATCTACATATGAATCCCTCCTACTTTGTGAATAAATATGGAAATGTGCTGAATTTTTGGTGACGTTGGAAGAGTTTCAAGTGATGGATTTGTTGAATAAAAAACAAATACTTGTTCGTTTACATGGAAGCATTTGGAAAAGTTCTTGTAAAAGCATCACTTATATCCCTACAAGGATAATCAAACAGAGCAGAGTTCTAGAATAAACTGCAGGTTCGAACTTCTTTAAATTTTACTCTTGCTAGTGACTCACCCTTTAACTGATACCTATGGTATGGCTAGCAGCTAATCACAAGTATGCAGAATTTAGTATATAATGGCCAATCACATGCCCAATGTAACCCTACCTTATACAAATTTTTTGAAATAAAAAATCTTTAGTGCATGTCCTTGAAATGTCATGGGATCCATGCCCTCTCAATAAAGTCACAACTCATTGATTTCTCTGGTTTTAATTGCTCCACAAGCAAATAGTTGTCATTAAAAACGATTCGAAATTTGACTTGATAAATCATTATTATAGAATAGGAAATGGGTCCCAATAAATATTGGACTCACAATTAAATTAAGGGTTAATATCACTTTTGATCCTTAAAGTATGCATTTTTTGTCAGTATAGTCCTTAATGTATTAATTTTATCAATTTGGTCCCTAAAGTATTCAATTGTATCATTTTTTATCCCCACATATACGGACCGTTAAGGTTTTTTGATGAAAGTGGCCACGTATCATTTTTTGAGACGGTATTACGTACCTAACACGTGATCATTTTGTTAAAAACTTAACGGTCTGTTTATGTGGAGACCAAAATGACACGAATTAAATATTTTAGGGACAAATTGATAAAATTGATACATTTAAGACTAAAATAGCAGAAAATGTATATTTTAGAGATTAAAAATGCTATAAACCTTTAAATTAATGACAAATATAACAATTCCATCATTAAGTCAAGTTTTTAAAGTTTTTAAATCTTGTGCAACATTACTCTTTGTGCAAACATCCGAGGAAAGGATACAAAGGAGAAATCAAGGCAAGCTTGTACAACAATAATTCATATTAACTGATACCAAACCAAAAACTATATGAATATATTTATAGCAGATGAACTAAGGTGCTGCAAAAGGACCTTTTTACCCTCACAACATCACCATCTCATTGAATTGCCATCTTCCTGCACCAAATTTAATAACACTCATGCGCTTCTCTTGAAAGTTCTTCACTTCCCACCCAAAGTTGAACTAAGACAAAGTTACACTTACTGATGTAGACTATTTCCAGGCTTGTTTTTGCTGCTTCCAGTTTGTTACCCGCGATCTCATGCAAAGTGGAACAAAATTGACTGGATGGTAGACTCATGGAATCAAATATCTTTTTTTTTTTTCCATATGTTGGAATCTAACTTCATTGAACAATATGTCATTGTTGAAACACGGAAAAATTAAAATCTTGAATCAAAGTACTATGAACAAGAATTTTGGATCCGCTGAACGTCATCCAACTCGATAGTATCTATTTTGGAAACGCTCGGTGCCAGAGTCACTAAATGAGTAGAGATCTCTTGCGACTTGTCAAATTAAAATCAATCAAAGCCCAGAAAACAAATCCAAAAACAAGCATGGAAATAGCAATCTCCTGTTGAAGAAAGGATGAGAAACATTAAAGGAACAAAAAAAAAAACCCTCTGCCATGCTAGTAACTGACTGACTGATTCACCGGGTCTGTATGGTACATTCCTGAAGTGATGGTAATATGGTATTAGTTGTAACAACAGATCTCTTGTTTGGGAATGGTGTTCAAGAAAAGAAAAGAAATGATCAGGATAGAGTTCAAGAAAGATACCAAGAAACAGAAAGTGAGAGGTCAAAGAGAGATTTTGGCCATATTTACAGGGAAATTGCCAGGGTTGATGAAAGAAATTTGGAGGTGAAGAAATGGGTATCTTCAGTTGTGAAGAGGGTTGGGCCCAGAGGGGACTAGTCTCTTCTCTACACCGAATCTTGGATCAATCTCATCAAGTGATGGTGGTGGTGGGAGTGGGGGTGGGAGAGGGAGGCAGTGTCGGATTCCTTTAAGTTTGAAGCACATAAGAGGCGGGGATACGGTGGAGATTGTATTGCACATAAGAGGTTGGTCGTGATGACATCGGCGGTGGCTTGAAGAAGTTTCCGGCAAAGTTGGGTTAGAGAATTGGGTGGTGGAGGAGACCATTACAAGGAGGAGAAAAAGTGTCAGAACAAGAAGCTGATGATGATCAGTTGAAGAGGGATGATAGCTCTTCATGGCCTTAAATCTTTGAAGAGAGAACCAGGTGAGACTTGAGAGCGACGGAAGGTGTTTAAGTGATTGTTTTGTGGTGGCGGCTGTGGCGGTGGTGGTGGTGGAAAAGTTTATAAAAAGGGCAAGGCAAGAGACACATGATCAAGTGTGTTGATTACCAAGAAAACTGTGGTCACCACCACCACCAGAGTCAATATATGCCTGCAATATAACAATATTCTCATGAAATGATTCACGAGTAGAGTCCAGTCATGTGTGTGTGTATTTAATTACAGGGAGACTTGCAGAAGTGATTTCAAAACGACTAGTAATTAAGGTTGTGGGACAAATAAAAGGGTCATCACATGTTGTCAACGTTTAAGAAGGACTTCTCACCAGTAAGGGATATCCACACATTAAACTAAGGGTCGGCAAGGCATCGGTCCATAGCTCGGGCCAGCATACTAGCCTTACGGGTAGGGCAGTGGGTTGGCTTTCAAGCTAGCCTCATTCGGGCTATATATTGAATTCTGATCACACAATTTTTATTCAAAAGTTGAGCAATAAAAATGAGTCAAACATGTTTACATTTCATCAAATCTTGAGTCCATTTCTCATCAAGGTGTGTTTGGTTTAAGCATTACAAGAGAGTACCAAGACAAATAATGCGTGACCCACCTTATCTCATTTACTTTCATGTTTGGATATACACTTTTAAGTCCACTATTATAACCTAGAAATAATCTAAGCTCGGATAAATAGTGCATTTAAACCCACCAACAATTTCTTAAATACAATGGACGAAGTTATCCAATCTAATACGTCTTTATACCTAAATCAAACAAACCCTCAAAGTATAAACTACTACTTATCCTAAGGACTATATTGTGGACACGCATGTAACTACTTACTGTCACTTTCTAGACATATTTGCTCCATTGCCACCCTTCGTTATCACTACTTGAGAAATGAAAGCCATCTATCACTTTTTTTTTCAAAACCGACATAATTAGGTTAAGTATTTGAGACCTCACAATGATAATTCTGGACCACTTGATAATTATGTTTATCCATCAGAAAATACATTCTTATCATTGTGCAATTAAGAAGAGAGAGTGATAGGATGTGACGAGTCTGGCCATTTCTATTTCCCATTACAATAGAAAGAATGGACAGATACATATAAGTGATAGAGGAATGGTACATAAATCTTAATTAGGGACTTTATTTTGTGATTTTATCATTCTTTATTATTAGATTGACATCTAATCCTACTATTAATTGAGAGATATTATCAATTTAATGACTATAATCCATCATATTACTAAATTAAGTTCAAATAATATTTTCCATAAGTAATAAGGGTAGTTAAAGGTTTCACACAATAACTTTTAAAGTAAAATACATTTTTACAATCTTTCAGTTGTGCCTACTTAGTCCCTAATTTGTATTTATGTAGTCCAATATAAATGTCCGTTAGAAAATTGGTGACGATTTTGGTCATGCGTTAATTACGTGGTTCCTAATTTTGTGTCTATTTGGTTCCTAAATTTTTTAATTTGTGTCTATTTGATCTCTAAATTTAAAACAATTACTTTTTGATTTATAAAAGTGCTAGTTATTTCTCGTGTCTGAAGACACGAAGTAACAAAAAAAAGTCAATAATAAACATATTTGTATTTACATCCAAAATCAAATTACAAAGATAGAAAGGGATTTAAGCACCAATTATAGTAGGGGCGAGTGGTGGTTGTGATGGTGGTGGACGACAGTAGTGGTGGTGGGAGACTGTGATAGTTGTGATGGGTAATGACGACCGATTGTGGTGGTCGGAGTCGTGATTGACAATGATGATGGTAGTGGTGGGGCTGGTGGTGATAAGGGTGATGGTGGGATAATGACGATGGTGGTAAGATAACAACAACAATGGTGGTGGTGGTAGGGTGGTGGCAATAGTGGTAGGGTGCCGACAACAGTGATGATGGGGCTATGGGGGTGGTGGTAGTTGTGATGGTGGTTGTAGGGTGGTGGGTGTGGTGATTGTGGGGGTGGCAATAGTGGTGGTGGTGGGGTGATGGTGATAATGGTGGGGTGGCGACAGTGATGGTAGTGGTGATGATGGTGGTGGTTGTTGTGAAAAGGTGGTGGTGGGGTTGTAGCGATGGTGGTGGTAGGGTGGCGACAACGGTGGTGATAGTGCTGGTGGGGCGAGAAAGGTAGTGGTAGTGGTAGTGGTGATGGCAGTGGGTGGGGCAGTGGTGTGGAGAGTGGTGACAATGGTGGTGGTGGTGGTGGTGGTTGTTGTTGTGGCAGAGATGATGGTGTGGTAACAATGACAATGGTGGTGGTGGTGGTGGGGCACTAGTGAGGTGGTGGTGGTAGAGTGGCGACAACGGTGGTGATAGTGATGGTGGGCCTATGGGGGTGGTGGTAGTTGTGATAGTGGTTTTGGGGTGGTGGGTGTGGTGGTCGTGGGGTGGCGACAATAGCGGTGGTGGGGTGATGGTGATAGTGGTAGTGGTGATGGTGGTAGGGGGTGGTGTGATAGCAACGACGGTGGTGATGGTTGTTGTGAAAGAGATGGTGGTGAAGTTTTCGGTGGTAATGGTGATATGGTGGGGGTGGTAGGGTGAAGGCAACCGTGGTGATGGTGGGGCGATGGGAGTGGTGGTGGGGGAGTGGCGACAGTGGTGGTGGTGGTTGTAGTAGTGTTGGTGGTGGGGGTGGTGGAGGTAGTTGTGGTGGTGGGGTGACGGTGGTGGTGGTGGTGGAGTAGTTCCAAACATTACTTTTTTTTAAAGTACTTATGAAAAGTTATAAGTTATAAAAGTACTTTTAAAAAATTACCCAAAACACATTATTAGAGACTTATTTTCTCTATTAAATTTGAAATGTTAATATTAGTCATCGAATTAAAATTAAAGTAAAATTTAAATAGATCTTAACTGCAAACGCAAAAGTCATTTTGTTTATATTTTGAGATTTGAATTGTATTGTACTTTATCAATTTGATTTTATATTGCATTCTCATTTTTTGTTTCTTATAAAAAAAGGTAAATTTCACTAACATCCCCTGAATTTAAGTTATATTTCATGGCACCCCTTATAATTTCTAAAATATCACTATATATCCTTGTAGTTTATATACACATTTCACAAACTACCCCGGTGTGATGTGATGGTTTATTCTCTTATAAATTGTCAAATTTATCCTTCACCATATAAAATAAGTTTAATTTGAGTAAAGGTAATTAAGTAAAATGAGAGTTCTAATAAAGATAATTTAGTAAAATTACATATTCTACTGGGGAACAAAAACTGAAAAGGGTATGCAGTAATATTTCAGAAACTAGAGGAAGTATTAATGAAATATGACTTAAATTTTGGGGCGTTTGTTATCTTAAAAAACATAAATAAATTGCATTATAAAGCGGCTCCAAACCATTACTGAGAATGATAGTAGTCAAAATGCGTACTGATTGTCAAGTAGTATGGAGTTAACTCTGAAGCGTGCCTTATTAGGTGTCTTGGGTTTCAATCTTTTTAGTGATTTGGTGTACATGTTACCTACGTGCAAAAAGAACAAGACCCTCCCCAGGGCTATGCCAATAAAATGGCTACTTGGGGTCTCCATTATTTTAGCGTTCAATAAATTTTTAGCCCTCAATGAAATGAATCGTATAATAAACGCAACGAAATTTAAAAATAATTTGATTCCTAATTTCAAGATCAATTCATTTTTAATACAAAACGAGAAATCTTAGATCTATAGAGAAGATTAAATGTTACCATTTGAAGCGTGTTTTTAATAATCTTCAAGTTTTCTTAAAATTTTTGAATATTCAAATCTGAATTTGATTTTTTTCCCAAAACATCGCAATTGTTTGGCCTCTATCGATATCCACGTGAATTGATAACTTTGAAGGATTTACCTCAACCTTTGACAAACTAGTCGAGAGAGAAATTAATGGGTGAATTTTCTTATGTTAAAGAGAGTTGTTATTTCATATATCCACCTCCTATATTAAGGTACTGGTTATTGCTCATGCCTAAAAGTACGGAGTAATAAAAAAAAATGGTCAACAATAAACATATTTGTATTTACACCTAAAATCAAATCCCAAAAATAGAAAAAAAAAATAAAAAAATTTAAACACCGGTTGTAGTGAGAGTGAACGATAATAGTGGTGGTAGGCGACAGTGGTGGTGGTAGGAGACAGTGATGGTTGTGGTAAGTAACAATGACCGTGGTGGTAGTGACAGCTGCAGGTGGCAACGATGATGGTGGTGATGGATTTTGGTGATGATGATGGTAGTGGTAGTCATAGGTGATGACAGTGGTGGTGGTGGTGGTGATAGTGGATGGGTTATGGTGGTGAGTGATAACGGTGGTGGGCATCAACAGGTGCTTCTGGGCGATAGTGTGATTCGTGGTGACGAATGACAGTGGTAGTAGGTGTGATGGGGGTGGGTGATAGTGAGTGGCGACAGTGATGGGTGATGACGGGTGATGGTTGGTGTGGTAGGGGTGAGTGGTAGTGGCTAACAGTGATGATGGGCGACGACCAGTGGTTGTGGGTTATGGTAGTGGGTGGCAATGGATGGTGGTGAGCAACAATAGTGGTGGTGGGTGCTAACAGTGGATGATGGTGATAGTGGAATGATGGTGGTAGTGATAATAAATATAAGAATGAGATAACGATTGAGATGGATGGTGGCGATGGACATTAGTGGTAGCAATCGGTGGTGGAGGTGGGTGGCAATGGCGACAACGACGATGATTGTGGGGTGGCAACGACGGACAATGGTGGTAATGGTGTGGTGGTGGTGATGGTGATGGTGGTGGTAGTGATGATGGTCGTGGGGGTAATGGTGATGGGGGTGATGGTGGGGCAGTGATAGTGATGTTAGGGTGGCGGCAATAGTGGTAGTGGTGGTGGTAGTGAGGATGGTGGTTGTAGGATGGTAGTAATGGTGGGGTGGTAGTGGTAGTTGTTGTGGCAGAGGTGGTGGGATGACAACGA